GCGGAGGGAGGGAGAAAGGGATTAAGGAGCATTATGATCAGCACACATAATATAGGGGGGCACGGGGAAGGCAGTACTGCGCAGAGAAGACAAGTAGTGACTCTACAGCATCTTACTACGCTGATGGACAATGATTGCAGCGGGGTGTGTGTGCGTGAACTTGATAATAAGGGCAAATGTGGTAACCACAATGTTGCTCATGTAAAACTTTTGTAAGATTGTATATCAATGATGCCTTAATAAAAAAAAAATTAGACCAAAGAATTTGACTGGATAGGAGTGTTAGATGGAGAAAATTCATTAAGATATTGTTTTTCTGTTATAAAGAGGATCATTTTGTAAGATTATTTGAAACTTATCAATTTGTTATATTCCATTTAAGCAAATCTACCCTTAGAAGTATCATTTTGTAAGACTCCAAAAACTAGAAATTATTGGCATAGTTCCTTTAGTAACATTCGAAAGTAGCCTATCATTCAGATTGGTTATCTTACTCAACATTTCTTGCCCTGGTAATAATGTTATCCTAGACATTTATATTCCAAACAGGATAAATAGTTGTAAGATTGTGCTATCAATGATCTTCAATGCAAAACCATTGGCTTTTTCTGCTTATTCCTTTTACATGATAAGAAAACAATATAAGCCTATGAGGCTTTCACAGATTTAACAGAAACTGAAAGTCATCTCATGTATATTAAAAGCTAGTAAGTACTACTGTCAACCTCATTTTAAAGATGAGAAAACTAGACACAGAGCAGTTAAGTAACTTACCCAAGATCACACAGATATTAAGTGGTAAAGCAAGAAGGATTCAACCCCCAAACAGGGGGCTTCAACATCTTTAAGCTTAGCTACTGCTTCTATCTTCTCTAGAATTTTTTTAGAAAAACTGAAAAGGAATAAACCACTGTCCTTTCAACTTTAATTTCTACCTGTCCCTCGTGTGGCATGCACTACTTGGTACAGCTTTACAGGCCTACGGCGGGCAGTGTTGAGGCTCGTTCCTTCCAGTCTGGATGGAATCTGGATGGATATCTGAGGATGCACCCACAATGCACCTTGCTGATGTGGGATGAGAAGGGAGCTTGATGGAATCAAGAGATGGAGAAACCACAAGAAATCACCAAACACTGACTGCTGTTACTGAGATAAAGGTGGAAGAGAACTAACCCGGCTATGTCACTCATGGTGTAACCATGGGCTTCAGTTCCCTCAGCTCTCAAAGCTGGGGCGGAGCAAAATAAGCTTCCTTTCCTGTATAAGAAAAGGCTTTCCCTAAGTACACTGGGATGGTTCTAGTAACCCCGGGCAACCCAGCACAAGCCTCGGATGAGCACGGGGAGTGATGACTAGTGAACTGATCATTAAAGGAAAATAATATAAAGGAGAAAGTCACTGAGAAGCCCTAACATTGTACACAATTACTCTGCAGGAATTCGTGCTAGAAGAGATATAGAGCAGGCTCTACTTCAAAAGCGTCAATCTTCTCTTTGAAGCGAGGCTACCTCTCACAATTTCACAATCTGCATTTGGTGCAGTATGATGACAGACCCCACCAGTGAAAGGGCAGTGTCTGGCTCAGTCACCTGTAATGCGCTTTGAGGGAAATACAGCGGTTGGCCTCTTACCCCACCCCAGCTGTCCGTGCTGTTCTACCTTATCCCATACGCACCAGGGGCCACTCACCTTCTGAGGACTGAAGATCACTTTGTATTTCCGAGTCCGGCCAGCCAGTTTGTCGGCATTGACAAGATCTGCAGACGGAAGGGAGGCAACAGATAGCCACGGACCATTTGTTAGACCAGAAGCAAAGAAGCGGAGACTCTCTACAAGGGGTGGGGCCGACTCAAACGACGATCTTCTAAAGGGTCCTTGGATCTTGGCCACCCTTCCCCAGGTCTCAGCCATGAGCAGCATGCGGGAGACTCACTGGCTATGTAGCGCATGTTCCTGATGCGTGGTCTCACCAAGAAGCACAGCCTACGGGAGAGAAGGGAGGGAAAAGGCCTCAGTGAAAAAAGAGCATGAAGGTGGAAAGAGCAGCTCATAAGAAACTGAGACACCACCAACTCTTTCACCATCTGCTCTTCCTGACAGGCTTACAGTTCCCATCCTAGCCAGAGCCGTGCCGGTTCTCTTGGCCCATATGCCAACCACATCACACTCTCCTCAACAGAGCAGGTTTACTATGGTGAGCTGGGGGCCTTTATCGGCCCTACAGTGGCTCCAGGAGTTCCTACTCTCAAATAATTTGCAATCTGTTACACAGCAAGATAAGATGCCTATATGTTTGGAGTATATTAGCAATCAAGTGTTAGAAACAATACAAAGAAGTATATAAAATAATCTTTTTTGAACTGGGCTTCCTGTATGTATTCTCCATATATCCAAGATAGTTTTTTCCTCTAAGGGAGGGTATACATTATTTAAGATTGGAAAATAGTAAAAATAAATACGAAAACCAGACAACAGGCATATGTGACTGTGTGCGAAGCAAAGAGGACAAGTACTAAGCACCACGGAAATCGAGAGGGGGTGAAATCACCGCAGCCTGGAATGGCCACAGAGCCACATGGAGTGTGGGGCTGCGCTCTGACAGCAGGGTATTCACAGGAGCAGTGGGGACAGGAGAGCCTTTCAGGCAGGGAGGGAGTGGCCAGGAGGGAAAAGGCACCCGCACACAGGTAGGAAGCACGTGTAAGCGCGTGTCAGGTAGCGGCCTAAGGGGACAGGTGAGAGACCAGGCTACAAGGCGGTGTGAGGCCTCCCTGGACACGGCCTTGGGGCGTCCTGTACTTCAGTCAGTGAGAAAGGGAAGCTTTGAAGCTTCTTAAGAAGAGCACAATGAACATATTTTTAATGGACCAACAGTTGCCAAAGGGAGAGGGACTGGCAGGGGGTGGGTGGGAGGGAGGGAGAAGGGGAATAAGGGGCACTACGATCAGCACACATAATGTCGGGGGGGGGCACGGGGAAGGCAGCAGAGCACAGAGAAGACAAGTAGTGACTCTACAGCATCTTACTATGCTGATGGACAGTGACTGTAATGGGGTATGGGGGGGACTTCATAATGGGGGGAATCTAGTAACCACAATGTTGCTCATGTAATTGTATATTAACGATACCAAAATAAAAAAAGAAGAAAGAAAATATTTTTGAAAGATTAATCAATGTGGTTAGAGATGGTGGATTGGATTAGAGAGAAAAGAGGACACAGGAGGGAGAAACTACAGACGCAGAGACCCATTTAAGAGGCTACAGCACAATGCAGGCTTGAAGATGTAGAAGTGCAGGGAGGTGAAACACGTCGCAAGCATCACGGTGCCAGACCTCAGCCAAGGACAGATCACAGGCAAACGTACGGGACCTCCTCCAGCTTGGGGCCCAGACCCACTCTCACTGTTCAGCAGATACTCACTGTTCACTGGAGCTGAGGGCTGGCTTGTTCTCCACCTTGTATAACTTGTCTACTTCATGTTGCTACAGAGAGAACCCAACAAGACAATGAACGTAAGAGTGCCTGGAAACCCCAAGCGTGATACGAAGTCAGGGACTGCGGTCAGGGCTCCTATTTATGCTAATTATAGGAAACAAACTGCCACCCTGACCGCCATCCCACTGCATCACTCTCAAACTGTCAACAGAAAACCCAAAAGTGAAACATTTCAAATGCAATACAAACGACAGCATCAAATCCCCCTTTGCCTGCCCAATTCAACTACCCTATGTTTACCTGATAAGGGGAGTTGCTCTTTAGTAATTTGTACTGTTCATCAAAAGAAAAACTGCTTAATGAGGAAAGAGGGGCCTGAGTCCCCCTAGGAAAAGAGGCAGGTACCTTCAGGATGGAGACGTTGGCAATTCGATCCAAAGGGCTCATGAGATCCGCCTCAATGAACAAGTCCTTTTTCCCTGGAAGCTGAGGGAGACGTGGTATCTGGGTCACTCACAGGTCACACAAGCTCCCTTGAGCCACCCATTTAATAGAGGTAGGGTCTCTGATTTGGAAGGGCGCTAGACATCATCTACCCCGGCACCTCATTTGCTGTCTGTGTCCACAGCTGACATTTCTCTACTTATTCACCTGGTTTGGCTTGTTCTATTTTTCTTTACCAGTGGAAAGATGCTTAACCTTCTTTCTAAGGTTAAGTCCTTGTCACTCAACCCTGCTACTCACCGTGACCTTGTTCTATGTCACTGCTCCTCTTCGCTGGCTCCTCCACTCCGCCCCCCAATTACCCCAACCACTGGCTAAGCAACACCAAACAAAAGCAAACCCCACCTCATAACCCCCAACCCCCCCAACTAACTGCCAAGTAGCTCATTACATGGCATTTTTTCTCTAATTACAAAAATGACTTATGCTCAATGCAGAAACCTAGCCTCGGACAGTCCTCCCTGGATCTCCGCTCTCCCACCGCATGTCCCGCTCCCTGACTCCGGCTTCATCGCTCCTGATGCTCCTCCATCCGCCCAGAGGAAGGAGAGGTCACACTGGGTGGCGGTGGGGAGGGTGGCGGAATGTCGTGGAATGTTTCCTCTCAATGAGGCCTCAACAAATGGGGAGGTGTTGGCAGTGATACATTAGGATGCCAACCCAGCAAAGGCCAGGAAAAGAGAACAGGCTGAATGGTACAGAATGAGCGACTCAGTGTGGCAGATGCACAAGGTACATGTAGGGCACTGGTTCTCAACCAGGGATGAGCGTGACCTACAGAGGACATTCGGCAATGTTGGGAGACACTTCTGGCTGTCCGACTTGGAGCAGTGGATGCTGCCAGCATCGAGTGGGTGGAAGTTGGGGATGCTGTTCAACATTGTACAGTGTAGGACAGTCCTACAACAAAGATTAACCAGCCCAAAATGTCAACAGCACCAAGGCCAGCCATCTTGAAGTAGGGTAATGGTGGGAAATAAGACTGAAATAGTTGGCTAGAATTGGAGCGTGAGGGACCCCAAATGCCTAGTTAGGGAGTCTGGAGTTGACCCTCTAGGAAGCAAGGAAAAACAGAAAGCTTTTATGCACTGAAGCATCCCATCAACTCGGAATTTAGTTAGGTAGATCTGGGAACTATAGGTAAGAAGGACTGGCTGCCTGACATACTGAAGGCAAGGAGTCTCCTTACGGGGTTAGTGCAACAATCCGAGCCACCCAAGCACATGGAGATGAATGAGGACCTGATGTGGGCTGGTGGTGGTACAGATAAATAGGTTATTTAAGAGATACATGGAATGTGTAACAGAATTTTTCAAGTACTTGAAAGAAATTAACAGTGTGTGTATGTGATGGTAGGATTAGAAGTGATTTTTTCCTTATTACGTCCCATTATCTTCTGCATTTTCTATAATGTGTAAGTTATTTCATAAAAACTATTTTAAAAAATCAGATGTAAGGAAATGGCCTTAAGACTCAGCACTAGTTCAGTTAAGTCTGAGAGGTAAAGAGTCAAAGATGACTCAAAGGTTTCAAGCCTGAATAGTGGTGCCCATCAACACGAATTAAGTCAGAAGTTGGCTTGGAGAGGATGTTTTTGCATAAAAATCCACTTTGGCCACATTGGGTCACCCCTGTTACCTTGTTCCTCACCTACACTCCATTTACAAGTTTCTGTCCTTGTCCTTATTTACTCTTTCATGTGGATACCACCTGAACTGGCTTTAACTAACATCTCTTTTCAATCCCTCAGACATTTGCTGAGTGTCTTTTATATGCCAATCATTGCACTACAACCACAGGGCAATGTGGTTAAGTTAAGTCCCAGGTCCCCTTAGGTTCTGAGGTTCTCCAAAGCACCTACTTTCAACCCAGCTGCAGCTCTACAATTGAATTCCCCATATATTACATGCGTTACTTCCTACCAACATCTTTACTTCATCCTACCCAAACCCAAATCAATCAATTCCTCCCACCAAACCCAATCCTCTTTGTACTTTTTTTCATTTCCATTCCTTTGTTCATGTATCAGTCATTAAGCACATGCTATGTGCTTGACTTTAAGCTAGGTACTCACTGGATACACAGTGTTGAACGAAACAGACATATTTCCCGTCCTCAAGGACCTTCCAATGTAGTGAGGAACGTGGACATCACACAAATAACCATACATGTAATCCATTACAATTACAGTAACAGCATTATTTTCCTATTAACCCAAGTCAAAAACTCAAGCTCAGCCTTGCTTCTCTCAACCTTTACAACCAATCAATAAGTCTTTGAGTCTTCTTTCACCATGACTTAAAAATCCATCACTTCCCTTCATTCCCATGGCCACGAGTTTTGTCTGATACACCGTCTCCTAACTGGCCTTTCATTGCCCATTTACCCCACTCCACACAAGGGTATTAGAATCCTCTTCAAGTATTGCTTCATGCTTCAAACGGGGAAAAAAAAGTATTCAGTGGCTTTTAATGCCTATTGTGTAACTTCTGATCACTCTTTTCCCTGTACACGCTCTGTCCTTCCCTGGTTCCTCCATTTTGCTCCTACTAGTCAATCGGCCTGGAACATGTTCTCCCATCTCCAAAGAAAACACGCTTGTTCTTCACACTCCAGCTCCTTGAACCTTCTAGATCATTCTCCTAGAAATGACTGCTTATTCTGAATGCTTCAGGCACCCTAGTTATCACCCATTTACCTCACGATATCCCGCGTGTGGTAATTTGCGGCTCTTACTGCTCCTACTGGGGCGTAAGATCCCTATCGACAAACATGTCTTAACCATCTTTCAATCCCCAGTGATTCCCGGCACTAGTGGTGTGTCCCTGACCTGCATTAAAAAAAAAAAAGTGATTTCCATTAATTCTCTGGCCACGACCCAAGCAGCTCTTACTGCCCTCTGGTTTTCCTCCGAGTGCTTCATTCTAACCTGCCACAGAAGCTCCAAGACAATACCAAGGGCCAAGAACAATAAATATGCATCCGGTGAGTGCTAAACTGTTGATGCGGTAAAGGCTGCAGGCGTGGCGGGCACTGACCTGCTCCAGCAGGTAGATGAGCTGGTCTCGGGCCAGCCTCTTGAGCATGGAGAAGTCAGGCAGCTCTGGGGCGTCCGGCCGAAGGGGAAAAGCCATGGCAGAAGCCACCTGGGCGGCCGGGTGGGAGCAGGGGGGTCACCCTCCGCTCTGAGACGGCGGCAGCAGCAGGGCAGCTCTCCTTCAGGCCTGGGCACGGGCTTCGAAAGAGCCCCTGAAGGGGCCCTCGCTTCTCAGCTGCACTTCAGGGATGAATGGCCACCTCCGGCCGGGCAGCCGCAGGCTCCAGGGACCCTCGCCTCAGGCCTGCACCAGAGTCCCGACCCGGCCGCCTGCTCCACTCCGCTCGTCGGCAGGACTCTGGTCTACACCCGCCTAGAGGACGGCGAACCAAGAATACCCTGCCTCTTGCAGAGAGAAAAGCGACTTCCCAGATCTCCCGGAAGTCGCGTTTGCGCGACCAGCGTTTGGCGTGCGAGAAGGGGACGGTGTCCTAGGAGGGACATTTGAAAAAGGGACGCAACGCGTCAACGCTCCAGTCGCGCTCCTGGCCAGAGGCGAGTGTTCTATGAGAAAAGACTTATTCCTTAAACTAATTTTAAGGGCTCATCCAATTCTCCTAGCTCAGTCAAGCGAGGGTTGGGCACTTGCTCGATTCTCAGAACTTTGTAAAATGGACAAAACCACCTCGGAGTCCGAAGGGCACTGATAGCCGCCTATCAATCAAGCCTATTTAGCAAGTTTAGCTGAACTGGGAGCTCTCTGGCTTCCAAGCTGTGGAAGGCGAGACAAGTAGAGATGGGGCATGGAGAGTGAATTGGAACACGTTAGGATCCGATCTAAGTCCACCAGGTGTGACTTTTGGGTACCGGAATTCTAACTCAATGCACTTCGTGGGAAAGTGGATAAACTGTAGCAGTCACACAATAAAAATAACTGGAGTAAATAAAAGAAGCCATACACAAGAGTGGCATCTGTATCATGCCACTGTGAAGACATTTAAGAAAAGTGATTGACTTTGGAGATGAAAATTTACTAGGAAGAGAAATTAGGGAATTTTAAGAAGTAATGGTAATCATCTATATGTATCTGTTTAAAAGAAATAAAAAAGCTTATGAGACATTATAGTGGATGGATTTGGCTGACAATACCTGAACTCACTAGTCAACCAACATCATGGTCATCTCCTGGTGAGATGCCTAGGAAGTGCATAGCATCACCCAGGGCAAAAAATTCAAACTGATCAAGCCTCGTAAGTTCATAATATAGAAGGTAGTAGAAACATGATAGGAAACATCATTAGCACAAAATCAGCCATATCCAAATACAGAAATTATATGGGTCAAATAACCTGTCAATGGCAAGGGGAATAAAGCAGAAGGGGAACCACTTTAGTGTCAAAGAGACTTCTGGAATATGTCAACACAATGCAATGTTTCAGTATGTGGACTGTGTGTGGATCCTAATTCGAAGAGACCAACCATAAAAGTCACTTATGAAACAATCAGATTATCAAATTAGACTCTAAGGAATTACTAAAGTTGTTGAGGTATAGTAGTTTATGTCTATGTTAAAAAGGAGACCTTATCTCTTTAAGATGTATACTTAAGTACTTAAGATGAAATAAAATGAGGTCTAGGATTTGCTTTAAAATAAGCCAGGCAGGAGATGTGAGACAAGTATGCAGAATGAAAAAGGATTGGCCATTTGTTAAATGTTTAAGCTGAGTAATGCATACACAGGGATTCACTGCGTAGTTTTTTCCCTTTCATGTTTGACAAATTTTTTAAGCAAACAAACCTTTGTGCTCACACTGGGCTTCAAGAGCTCACTAGTGTTTTATACTGAGCTTTTTTTCCCCACATTCCACTCCCCTTAAGATCAAATCCCAGCTCAGAGAGAGGTGGAGGCTGCCCTGAATGGATGAGTGACATGCATACCCTTCAGAGCACACAGACTTAACGCTCCTTCTGTTGTAGTTTGCCAGCCTTGAGCTTGGCCCCGAGGTTGCCTGTGGTGCCCATTCCACCTGCAGCCACTTCCTCTTCAGTCTGAGCACAGCCTTATCATGTTGCCTCCTCCCAGGTGATGCACTTGTGCCCCAAAGTGCAGCTCCCCATCATCTGTGGCGTGTCAGTCCCTCATGTCATGCAACAGGAGAGCCGGTTGCCCAGAGCACAGGCTGGGTGAGCTCTCCATCCCCCTTTCCAGCTTCCGGGCTTGGGCTGGGTTTGCTAGGGGGAGCAGTTTCCAGAAACACCAAAATGTCAGTGGGTCAGGCAAGACACACTAACAGGATAAGCAGGAACAGGTCAACCTAAGGGAAGCATAGGCCTTGTTGACGGAGGTCTGGATGGATAGGCCGGCAAAGGTGAAAGGCAGGACAGAAAGCCACTTCTGCCACTGTGGACTGCCTGATTGGTAGGAGGGTCCCCAACCATTTCGTCATTTACTCAAACAGTACTGAAATCTATGCTGGGAGCTGGAACTACAGCAATGAACAGAGACAGTTCTCCTGCCTTCATGGGGTCTATATTCTATGGGGAAAAGGTGGGTGAATGTGAACAACATAGTATTTCAAATACTGGGGAAGTGAAACAGTATGTGGAACATGAAAGGAACTGCTTTAGGTGATTAGGGAAGAAGGCCTAACGTCATTTTTAGCTGTCAAAATCCATCACTGAGTGGGGGAGCTGCATCTGTCTCCCAATATTTAATGACAAAGGACCCTCTGCCCCTTCCCTTCCCACATTCTCCAGGTTCACAGGTAAACCCTCCCACCCCCAAGAACACCAATCAACACAGAAAGCTATATTTGCTTTATTTTGCACATAATGAAAACAAGCAATTGACTAAGCAGTTCCACAACTGTTAGTGTTCATTAACCAAGAGTAAATGAGGTCAGAAGGCAAACCATTCACTTACTCCCAAACATATACTGCAAACATCACAGAAACTCCTAATAGCACATGCAACACAGGCTGGTTTCAACATACAGAGAGCAAGCAAGAAGGGGGAGTGCTGAAGATAACACATGGCTCAGCCCAGGAGGCTGGAATCTACCGTGCCTGTCATTCACCCTGCCCCAATACACATTTGCCACGTGAAGTTCACTGCCCTTTTGTCAGATTCAGATCCAAGCAGCTCTTTCCTCCCATATTCCAGGCTTATCATTTCCTCCTGTTTGAAGGTGGATAATCTGTAGACAGAAATTCAGGCAGCTCCAAATGCACTTGCCCACCTGTGTTTCACGTGGCATTTCCAGAAGACAGGATCCAGCTCAAATTCTGTACAGGAAGTTCCCGTTGCTGTCAAAGAACTCTCGCCCCCTCTGCACTACTTTGCTGCTGAAGTTCTGGTCACCCAGATCCTCTGCCTTCAACTCCTCCAGCTTGTTGTTACGTGGCCGTCCATCACTGACAGCTCCCCTCGTGCCCTCACAATCGCCAGAGTGTAGCGCTCTCTGATGACCTTGTGCTGCAGCACCAGGCACAAAGCTCTCTTCCTCGCGGACCTGGGTTCCTCTATTCCTCCCCTTCTGTCTCATCGGTGTGTTTGCACTGAGAGTGTTTGATTCTGTCACTTTCAAAGCTGTGCCGTGACGCTGGCCTTTGGAGGAGGCTTCATCCTTAGGCATCTGCAAAGGGCCGGATACCAAGTGGCCTACAGAAAGTGGCTTTAAGGCATCCCCAGAGCCTGGGAGCTGCTGGAGTGAGTGGGCAAGCCCAGCTTTCTTAAGGACTTTCTGATCCTGCTTCAGTTTCTGCTTCAGTGTGGGTACAAACTTGCTTTTTAAAACTCTCCGGATGACATCAGTGCTGACATCAAAACCTTCAGCCAATCTGGGAACTGACCAGGACTCTGCAAATTCCTTATGTAAATACCTATAGGAAAAAGGAAGTTTTCAAGTTGTGAAGAAGTTCCCTATAAGAATAACTAACTAGTAGTACTAGTTATAAATACGTGAAATGAAAAGGGTTTGGAAAAACTACAAATGTAATCTTTACCCTGTGCCACTTAAATAAATGGCTGTGTTCCATTCTGCATGCTGACAACACCCAACCACTCTTAGGCCACTTTATTTCACACCAACTGAACTCCTCTCGTTGCATACCAGCCCCAGTTAGATCCTGGGAATGCAGGAAGACTGTCCTTCCCTTCAAAGAACATACACTCTGGTGGTAGAGGCAGATGCTGGTGGTAGAGGCAGATGCACTAACACTTGACCACATGTGGCAAGTGTCACTGCAGATGACACTCTGAGAGCACCCAGGAGGGAGACTCAGAGACAGGCTATCAACATGTGCAGCACGGCCCAGGAAATGCTTGGGCACATCCATGCCAGAGGTGGTTTAAAAGGATGAAAAGAAGTAATAGGCTCACAGAGGGAGGAGAGGAAGGAGAGAATCAAAGGTCCCTGATGGTAGAGTGAGCCCCACATACAATGCTCATCACCTATGTTGGGAGTAGCTCAACTTGCCTGACAGTGAGGACAGAAGCAAGTTCATATCATGCTTAGGAGTCTGGAGTTGACCCAAAGAAATAGTGAACCAAGGAAGGATTTTAAGCAATGGATGCCAAAAGCCAGTTTTCATTTTGAAGCTGAACAGCTTTTCAGTGTAGTTTTCAGTGGCAAGAGGTTATCACAGTAATCCAGACAGTCTGAACTTGAGGCTGTGACAATGACAGCAGGGGAAAAAGATGAGAAATATTTTAGGAAGGCCAAAAGCAGAACTCCATAAGGGACTAAATACTAGGGAAGAAGCTGAGATTCAGGATTTTAGCTAGGATGGATTGGTGGGACCAATCAGGGTTATTGTGGAAAAAGGAGTTACGACTACATTGTCAAAACCAGCGAAAAATTCTATGTTGGACGTGTTGCATATGAGGAATCTGTATGACATCCAAACAGATATCTAGTGCACAGTTAATTATACAAAGTTCAGAAGAAAAACACGGATTGCAGATGATCAATTTACAACTCCTAGCCCATCGCAAAGGTGGTTACAACCATGTGAGTGGATGGCATTAAGCAGGGAAATACTCAGAGTGGTAAAATAACCAAGGACACAACACTAGAAAAAACAGCAGATTTTAAGATACAGGCGGAAGTAGAAGATCCCAGGAAGGAAACTGAAAAAAGCACCCTTAGGAACAGAACTCAGTGGTACCCTGGCTATCTAGGGAGAAGAATTCAAGAAAGCTGACAAGGGCAGATGCTCCAGAAATGTTAGGGAGGCTAAAGACGAGGGTGTCAGGTTTGCCAAGCACTGAAGAAGTCACCAACAGATCTGTGGAGAACAGTTTCACTGTAGTGATGAAACAAAATAAAGGGTAGGCAGCCAGGGAGCCAGTTGGGAACTAAAGGATGAGGGGGAACCCGAAGTGTACAGATGTAGGTCCCTGAGGAGAAGACAGGGACAAGACTAAAACACACAGAGGGTTCGTCACAGACAAGTGAGGGGTACCACGTCCCCTGAGATGTAAATAGAGGACAGGATTGAGACTGGAAAGTAAGGAGGAAGACCAAGAAGCTTTAAAGGGTTCTTTCCTAATGGCCTGTTTGTACTTTGAAGTAAAAGGACATTTACTGACCACAAAAGTGGGGGTAATGGGCAGGAAGATTTGAAAAAGCTGCTGTTCAAAACAGGAGCAGCTGCCATGAGAGGTGCCAAGGCTACCAAAATCTGGATCGCTCTACAGAATCCCCTTTACTGTCAGTATCTACTCCAAAGTCATCCTGATGGAATGGAAAAAGGCACATAACTTTTGGAGGGCTATTCAGCAATATATATATCAAAATGCAAATCCATTTGCCATCGGATCCAGCTACTCTACTTTCAGGAATGTATACAACAAACACACCTGGCACATATGTGGCATGATGTGCATACAAAGTTACTGGCTAAAAGCACTATTTGTGACAGCAAGGGAGTGGAAACAACCCAAGTGCCCATCATAAAAGTCTGGTTAAACTACCATTTACAATGATTTCTATAAAAAAGAATGAAGAGCTTTCTCTTCTGAGGTGGGAAGATCTGTATCAAGACTACATTAGATGAAAATAGAAAAGTATACAACAGTACTTCTTGTGTTCTACTGTCTGTGATTAAGGAAGTGAAAATAAAAATCTATATTCATACTTGCTTGTATTTGCATAAGGAAATCTGGGAAAAGACACACAAAACTATTAAAAATAGTACCCATAGGAGACTGGGATTAAAACTTCCTCAAGTGTATACCACAACATACTGTTCCAATTCTGAGCCACACAGAACAGTGTATATTCAAAACAGAAGACATTAAATTTAAAAAAGGATCTTTTAAGATTTCTAAAATATGGATCCTCTCTTCAGAAAAACATGCGTAATCATGTTAAGTCCCCGATTCTGAATCTTAGGTTAAGAACGTCACGCTCTATTACTTAGGAATTAAATGTTAAATCTGCAATTCACTATTTTTAAATTTCGGTAAAAACGAACTGTCGTAATGTTAAAAACTATTCAATCCAGATGACGGGCTTAACGGAAATTCGTTGTATCATTCTGCTTCTTTTAAAAATCTTAAAATAATAAAAAGCGAAAAAAAAAAAAAAGAACAGTATTCTAGGCTTCACAATCCCTTACGTCCCGATCTGCTGTGAGTCTTACCGGATCTGCTCCATGGCTTCCCACGTCAAGGACCTGGGCGGGGCACCCGGCGCCTCCATTTGCCTCCGAATTTTCTGGAACCGGATGGCTTTTTTCTGTCGTTTCAGGGTGCTGGGGGAGAGAACCAATAGCAGAAGCCATGCGTGCAAACAAAATGGGTGGCTTAAGAGCCTCGGGTTAAGTTACGGAGCTCCCTGCCCTCTTCTCCGTTTGCAAGGGCGACCAAGCCGGGTCGGCGGGCTTAGACCCGCTGTGCCCCGGCCAGAAATCTACCACCAGAACAGCCCTTGCGCACGCCGAACTCAACGGGGGGCGAAACGTCACCGGTAATCGAACCCGCAGGTCCGAGGGAGCTGAACACCTTCCTCTGCGCCCCTGACAAGGGGAAGAAACAGCGGCCGCGGCAGATGCGGCGGCCGAACGCCCGGCGCCAAGGGGGCGCGGCCTGGAGCGCCGGGGAGCGAGGCCCTGCTTCAGGCTGAGGGCCCCGGGAGGAGCCGGTACCTCTCCACCTCCTGCAGCTCCCGCTCCTCCGGCTCCCAGTCGGAATCAGGGTCCGGCTCGCGACCGACAGAGCCGGGGCCCGCCACCCCTCGGGTCGCGAACCCACAGCGAGCGACGGCAGCACGAACACGCCCGCCCAACAAAAGGCTCAGGGTAGCCGCCATGACGGAAAAAATCAGCCTCAAGCGTTCGCAAGGAGGCAAGGCCGGAAGCCGGGGGCGGTCCCGGAAGTGGGTGGGGCGAGCGGGGCTCAGCGCAGCACCGCCTTCTCGCTTCCGGCTGTGGGCGTGTAACCGGGCTGCGGCCTCCGCGCGGTGCTCCCTTCCGACTGTGATTGTGGGGGGGCTGGGGGGGGTGCCCGTGCCCGTGCCCCGTGCGCCCCTGAAATGTGAGGCCCGCAGTGAGGTAGAGGATGCGCCTGCAAAATGGCATAAACTTTAATAAAAAGAGGATTCAGTCGCCCCGCCGCCCTCCGGCTGCGAGGCCGGCCTGTGTCCTCCCCGCGGCGGAATCGGGGTCCCCTTGGCGGAGCTCTGAGGGTGACTGCCCGGGCACTGGTTCCTCGGGAGAGGTTTCTCCTTGCCGGGAGGATCTCCATCCTCGGCCCGCACCCAAGGTGCAGACCCATCACCCAGCGATGTGTTCAGACTGAGGTTTGAAGGGCGGAGATGAGGACATGGCTGGCCGTGGCTCTTCATTTTTAGTCTTTACCCATCTGAAAATAATCTTGAATATTGAGATATTCTTTGGTGTCTTTGCGTTTTGCCTTCTGCAAACAAGGTCCTTGGCCAGGGCTTTTCAAACTGAGGTTTTGTGGCAGTTTAATTTAGCAAAGATTGAAGGCCCTTTGCCCCTTTGGAAACTTGAGCGGGTTCTCCGAGGGAGGCCGAGAGCTGGGCCCCGTCCCCGCGTTCACCCGTGGCGGCTGGCATTGAGGGCCGCAGTGGGACACTGCAGCAGGGGTCCAGCGGAGGCAGGACGGAGGGTGAGATCCCGGACTCCGGCTGCTCGGTGTTCAGAGCCTACCACAGGCGGCAAGGTGCATTCAGTCCATGAGCCACTTGCCATTCTTTCCGGGTGCAGAAAATAGCGCTGCTTTGGAGTTAAACAGGGTGGCAGTGATCCTGCCGGGGCTCCGTTTATGGCTTCTGGCCTTCTGCAGTAGAAACATGAGTTCCCCTGAGTTGGTATTCACAGAAAGGTTTGCTCACCGCTTTCCCAACTGTTCACCGATCACCAACACACAGGAGTGGCATAGCATACCATGCCTCCCTCCAGCCTTTACCACACTATGTTGTAATTTATGTGTTTACTTGTCCATATCCCTGTTAGGTTTGTTGAGTGCCTGCCCTTTGTATCATCAGGGACTAGCACACAGGAGGAGGTAAATAAATGGGTCCACCACCTGCCCCACACCCACACTGCTGGAAGTGCCATATAATATTTTAGGAGTATCCCGACTGTTATATTTGCTAGTGGGAATTTATACAAATCAGAGTGACCAAAGCTAGTTTTGCATACTTATGGCTAGTGAGCCTGATTCTGGTGCTGGAAAAATGGCGCCTTCCAGATTTCTTCATTGACAATGAACAGGGGCTGAGAGCTGCTGAATCTCCTACCCAACTGAAGTTCTTGGGCTGTAGATGGCACGAGGAGTGATGTGGAATTGTAGTATTCATGCTTGGCAGTGGCCCTAAGATCCTGGGGCTCAATTTGTGGGGCCGAACTGGATGCAGGAAATGAGGTCCCTGCTCTTTGGCAGCTCCTCTCAGGAGGACCAGTGGGACCAGACTCACAGATTGCGGTTCTTGACTGCCCAGCCCATCTTTGTGAAATCTAGACTAGAGGAGAAAGCAGCCCTTTACCACATTTCCTGTGAGGCTGCATTGAGTGGTAGAAGAAAACAGGTAACTGAAAAGTCTCTTCTAGGCTGTAGCCACTATTTAACCAGTTACTCCTTTGAGGTTCAACAGAAACAGAGGACCCAACAGGTTTGCTGCTACTAGCCCGGGGAATAGTGAATGCGGCAGCTGCTTTGGTGGCCCAAGACTGTTTACTTAGCTCCCGTTAGAGCCATGGCACTGGCAGTGCTAGGGAGAGATTTACACAGAAGCCACTGAGGGTAGCAGCTTTGTTGTTTGTCGGTCATGAGTTTGGGGTTATTGCTGACAGAAATACAGAGAACAAGTCTCCTGTGAGACGGTTGGGAGCTGCACTTTGCTGGATGTCATTACTAAGAACAAGGGAGCTTGGGAATGGATGCAAAAGGAGCCGACAGACCCCAGCTTCCCAGGCTCCACTGCCAGATGGCATCACATTAGCTTTCTGTGCCGTGGCCACCACCATGTGCCACTACAGCCCTCGTGCCCTTGTTCTGTGAGAGGCTGTGTAGGGACCCTCACCCGATACTCATGAAGGTTTTCCTGGCCCTGGTGGCTGGGGCGCAGCATGCGGGTGAGCTGCTCTGCAACACCCAGGCTTCAGATGACATTCTCCCTCTGTAGCAGGGCCTTCATCCGCTCCCGCTCCTCCTCCTCCACAATTTCTTGAGGCTGCATGGTGTCCAGGGGAACTGGTAGCCGCTACAAAGTACATGGGAGCTGAATGCAGGCTCTCCAAGGATGAGTCCCCGGCCATCAATAAGGATGGATCAGACCTGCTGCCCACTCTCTCTCCACCTCTTCCCCGATCCTAGTGGCAGGTCCCCTTTGCTATCCAGTTTCTCTCCTGTTCCAAAAGGTCAGATTCCGTGTATTCATTAGGAACTCATTTCTCCTGTAGAGGAGGAGGAGACAGCAGAGGGTCCCTTCTCTAGCAGTACCAACCCATTTTCCTGCAGAAAGACGGGAGCAGCAAAACCCTGGACACCTCTCTCCCCCGGTTCCGGCTCCTGTGGGCCAAGTGGGTGGACAGGCCCCGGAGCCTGGCGCTGGGTCGGCTCTTCTCCCCAGCTGATTCGCCCTGGTTCTGGTCCCTGGTTTCTTTTCGCCTCTTATTGCCTGAGGTCTCCTGCTGTTCCTGCTTAAGACGGATCTCTTCCAGTTGCTGCCTGACAAGACACGGCAGCTTCAAACACTTGAGAAATTGCGTTGGGGTGAAGAGGGATGAGGAAAAACGGGGATGGGGAAAAAGTAGGAAATTGTGATCTGTTTGGGGGACTGGTGGGAGAAGAATAAGGGGGTAGATGGGAAACCTGCTAAACTGAGTCATTAAGAGGCTGATAGAGTTCATCTCTCCGTGCCTCTGTGTTCAAGTGTCTGGCTTCCTTTCCACCCTGCTGGGGAGCAGTTCAGCTTCTGGATTTGCCCCCCGCCAAGTGGACAGAGGAGCATTCAAGGCAAAGTACCCAGCACAGTCCTCTCTGGCCTTGAAAGCAGCAGTCTTCTGGAAGAGTGAGCCGTCGTGCTTGAAGAAGGGTGCGTACTTCTCTGTGTCAGGCCCTGGGTAGATCCGCCGGTATCCCTCAAGATGGCAATCCTCGTAATGTTCCTGGTCCAGCATTGCTGCGTGTGACAACTCGATTTGTTCTCGCCTGTGGAAACCAAGCTCATGGGGAGTCGGAAGGACTGAGAATGTTCAGTAGGGAGAGGAAGGCTGGCTAAGGCTTTGAGAACCTCCTGATAGCTTCATGGCCGTTTGGTCCCCTGCCCATGTGGTGAAAGCTGCCAAGCCCATCTGTGGCCAGTCCCACCTGTATGTAGGCATAAAAACAGGCTTGACTTCTGGAAATCTGGTTTTCATCTTAATTGAAAAGGTGTCCACTCCTAAACTAGCACTCCAAGTTACCACAGTCTTTTAGGTTTCTGATTATAGAGTAATTGTTAATTATGTTATGTATATGTTAATTACAGAACGTTTAGAAAAGCAAAAAGAAGATTAAAAACCTCCCATAACCTTACTGTGCGGTTGGCTTATCGGTTATGAGCATGGACCGGGGCAGGATCTCCTGAATTTGGATCCTGATGTAGCCACTCACCACCTTGCTTTTTCTTTATCCCGTCCTTTTTTGTTGTAGAGAAATACGGGGTTGCACATTTTTAAATGGCTGCCTAGTATTCTACTGATTTTATTAAGTCCAGTGGTTTCCAACCTTCTCTCCACGTTGAAAGACTTGATTCCTAACAGGCACACACACAGCCTCATCGCATCAGAACACCCATGGCGTTCACAGTTAAACTTCACCTCCATTCACACAAACGTGTGAGGGCCTTCTGTGTGCCAGGCCCCCGGGATATCACACACACTGGCCCTGCATGTTATGATTCAAGTCAAGAAGAACAATGTTATATGAATAATCCTAAATCTACTCCAATTTATTTTTATGTATTAACTAAACAGGGTACAAAGAGTTTGAAAATTATGCTACTGTCTGGTTAGATAGAGGGAAAAAAACAAGGAGTAAAATACATGTACATAAGTGCATTAAATGTTGGTGAAAGTCTACACATGATTCTGGCAACATTGATTGGCTCCAGGGGGGAATCTGAGTAGCTGAAAAAGAAGGGCAGGAGAGGCTATTTACTATATCTTTTGAATTTTGAACGTGTATTCTATAAAATGTGGTATGTTATCTATGCAAAAAGATTTGATTTTTCATAGCTTTTCAGCCTCAGGCTGCCTTCTGCATCTAGAGAAGCACTTTTACCCTCAGGAAAGTAATAGCAAAGAAGCTACGTGAATGAGTACAGGACACCTGGAGCATCTGGCTTCTCGTGGCTGTTGGTGGCACTGGACAAGCCGCTCCTTGACTCGCCGCTTGTCCTCCTCCATCACCTTCCTTTTGTCACAGCCCCGCAGGTTGACTAGGGTCATGGTGTCACAGAGAAGTGCATCCTTCACTTCCTGATCAAGGCGGGAGTCTGTGGTGAAGCTTGGAGAGTGGTTTACCTGCCAGGAGGAGCCATTATCCATCTGCTTCTAGAGTCCCTGAGCTTCACGCAGGCCCACCTGGGGGGTCTGGGAGAGTCACCCCTCTCCAGAGGCCCCAGCCCAGGAAGGTGGGTGTTCTGACTTCCAAGGCCACAGGACCCTGCCACAGAGACCCCTCCAGTACACAGGCTGGTGAAAGCAAATCAGACAGCCTGACTATGGGTATAGTGTCCTTAAAGACAAGGCTTACACGAGGAATACTGGGATCCAAAACCTGGATTCCGAGAGTGGGGGCCAGAGGCCACCAAGATCTTCACTCGGCAAGTGGAAAGCGTCGAGGCTGTATGTATGGCTGTACCCTCCCCTGTGCGGCCGTGCCCCCTGTTCTGTGTTCCGCCACCTGAGTGGACGCCTATCCCCAGCGTCCTGTCAGGGAGGCCTCTGGACCTTGGTTTTACAGAGCCCAGGAGATAATCCTCACCTCCAGCAGCCAGGGCTTCAGCTTGTGGTCTAGCAAGATGTCAAAACCAAGGATCTCAAAACAGGCACATGTACCTCCACTCAGATACTGGGGAAAACAGGTTCGGTAGTTGTGGTGAAGAACGGAATGGGCCGAAATGACGGTTTTGATGATAATGTCCTCGATGTTCCGCCACAGCTCTCGGGGATCGTAGGTGTGTTCTTGCAGCCAGGCATTGAGCATCGACAGCTTCCTGTGAGGCCCAGTCCCCAGAGGAAGACCAGCTTCTATGCCAGTGGGGCTGGGCTGCAGGCAGGAGGCTCCCTAACACTAGCCCTGACTCATGCCTAGGTGCCTTGGGCTTACAGGGCTGCTTCCAGCTCAGAGCACAGCCTAGTAACCAGGTAGGGTTTGGGGCTGCACTTGGAGGTCAAACACAGGACAGGGCTCCATAAAGGTTGAGTTTTCCAAAAAGTCAGCCTGCCAAGAGCCAGCTCAGCTCCCAGGGCTGCCAAGACTGTGGGGCTCTGGGGACAGAGGAAGAGGAGGAAACAGCAGGGAGTACCTCTTACTGCCCATAGCATCGTCCTGGACAAAATTCTCATTGTGTTTGTTGATAGAGTAGTTGGTCAGGTGCATGCAGATGTCGTCCTGGGAAGAGAGCAGCTCTGGGGCTCAGACTGCCTCTGTGCAGCTCTCCTCTCCAGCCCTTCCTTGCTTTTCCTTACCCACCCCTTCCCAGGCTCCTCTGGTCCCTCTGCACCAAGCACTGTTGGGTGGGCTCTTAGGGAAAAGGGTGAGCAGGTTCCCACTGGCTACCTTCCTTGTTCATGGGCGGCCATGACAAGCCTCTCTACCCGGTCCCTCCATACCAGCTCAGCACTCAGGGCAGTGGAAGAGCAGAGGGCACCGCCCTGGCCCCCAGGGCTGCCAGCCTGTCCCTTACCAGGTTGCTATGGCTGGGCTCCGTGTAGGGCAGAGTGGCAAAGCGGGCCAGGCCCTCCTCATACATGAAGATCCGAACAGGGTCGCAGGATGTGATCAGGACGTAGATTCGCATATCAAACTTGAAGCCATCAATGAGGAAGGGCTGAGAGCACGCAAACCGCAAACCCATCAGGGACGCAGAAGACTACCTTTGACAGGCTTACCATGTACCACGCTGTGGTAAGTGCTTCAAATACATAGTAACTCGTTGTTATTCCCATTTAACAAATGAAACTGAGGCATAGAGAGGATAAGAAGTTTGCCCAAGGTCACATATCTCGGAAATGGAAAAGCGGAGACTCAAACCCAGGCAGGCTGGCTCTGAACCATGGCTCCATAGTGCCCCCAAGATAACAGCAGGAGGGCAGGGGCCTAAACGTGGCTTCCTCCCTGGCTCTGGGAGACATGGGAGCTGCTGGGGAGGGCCTGGCAGTCTGGAGGTACATTCACCTTGGAGATGTATCGCTGGCAGATCATATGTTCTCCTGGCTTGATCTCCCGGGGATTTCGGGTGATGACGATACCACGTCCCTGACAGCGGCTGTCTGGCTTGCAGATGTAGGTGCGGGTTTTTCGCTGATGGCCATAGGACTGGAAGTTCCCATAGCTACGTGTGGAGAGGGGCTGGTCAGAGGTTTCTGTGAATCGTGGCTGCCCCAGGGCCTAGGGAGCGCTTCGTGCTGTCCAGTCCACGCCCTTCCTGGAACACTCATCCCACTTCCATCCCCAAAAGGCCAGAGCCTGGAGGGAGCTGAGGTGGTGAACCCTTTCCTGCCCCGGTATCTCTGCCTGGGGAGCCGAGCCGGCCCCACTCACTCTGCCGGGAGGCACCAGGTGCGGGGGAAGATGTTGTACTCAGTAGGATAGAGTTTCTGCATGCGGTTGAGGTTCCGAGCTAGCAAGTCTTTGCGGCAGATTTCTGTCATGCCAGGAAAGTGGTTGATTTTCTGAAATAGGGCCAACTGGTTACACTAACCCTGAGAGTAAGTGGCCGTTCTGGGGCCAGGGCATCCCAGGAAGCAGTGGAGAAGGACTGGGAAGTTCAGGGTAGAAGTTGCGGTGGAGGTGAACTCTGTACTTAGTACCCCAAAGGAGAAAAGGGAGGTTCTCCAAGGCAAGTGAGAAACCCCTCCCTGGCCTCTCCCCAAAACACACACACAGCTGAGGTTAGGAAATGAGGAGCAGTGAAAGGGCAGGCAGGACCTTTGGGCCTCTGGCCACCTTAAAGGTGCCTCAGACCACGACAGACAAGTCCTGTAACAGTAACTGGTGTGTGCCAGCACAGAGCCAATGAGGGAACGTCCCCCAAAGAGAAAACGAAGCTAAACCACCCCAGGTGATGCAGTGCCTGCATGTCCAGAGGGCACGGCATTGCCAAGGTGGCCTGCCAGACCCCCCATCCCCGCCAGTGCCTTCCCACGGTGCTGGGAGGCAGCATCTGCCCACACTCCCGCAGTGGCTTTCTGCTCGCCAGCTGCCTGAATTAAGTATTTCTGAGCCTGGGTGTCCTCTTCCTAACGAAAGGGAATCTGCCACGAAGAATGTACAAGCACTGAACAGTGTCTGATGCATGGTAAGGCCTCCACACATGCTCTCAGTTATTGTTCCTCTCACAACTGCTCCCCTGGGGCCCCTTCTCTGGGGCTTCTTGAGCGCTCAGAGCTCACTCGCTCGCCCGCTCTCTCAGGCTCTACTCCCACAACTTGCTGTAGGACAGGTTACAGTCTCCTCAACTCCCTTCCTGGATTCTGAAAATAAGCCTGCACACCCTTTTAAATTAGCTCATTGCTACCCATCACAAAGACCCAATTCATGGGTAACAAACATACCATGAAGTTCTATTCTTGTGTCTCATCTTTCCTACTTTCTTGCTGCCGCGCAGTCTGCCACACGGACTTGCAATGGGTGTGGGATGCTAGGCTAAGCAGCTCTGAAGGCTGGATCCTTCAGTGGCTCTGCTGATAGCTCTGAAGCAGTCTCCCAGGCTTCCCCCTAAGATGGACTCACCTGCGCTAGAGGGGGCTGGCTGGACATAGAAGCCTCCAGGCAAACAGTGGCCAGCAGACATTTCTGTCAGGTAATAAAAGTTCCAGAGACCCGAGAGGACAACATTTACATTGGAGCAGAAGCCCCGGCTCTGGCCTTCCCTGCACAGGGGTATAGCCACAGAGAGGAGCAGCCTTATTCCCCCAAAGAGAAAACGAAGCTAAACCACCCCAGGTGATGCAGTGCCTGCATGTCCAGAGGGCACGGCATTGCCAAGGTGGCCTGCCAGACCCCCCATCCCCGCCAGTGCCTTCCCACGGTGCTGGGAGGCAGCATCTGCCCACACTCCCGCAGTGGCTTTCTGCTCGCCAGCTGCCTGAATTAAGTATTTCTGAGCCTGGGTGTCCTCTTCCTAACGAAAGGGAATCTGCCACGAAGAATGTACAAGCACTGAACAGTGTCTGATGCATGGTAAGGCCTCCACACATGCTCTCAGTTATTGTTCCTCTCACAACTGCTCCCCTGGGGCCCCTTCTCTGGGGCTTCTTGAGCGCTCAGAGCTCACTCGCTCGCCCGCTCTCTCAGGCTCTACTCCCACAACTTGCTGTAGGACAGGTTACAGTCTCCTCAACTCCCTTCCTGGATTCTGAAAATAAGCCTGCACACCCTTTTAAATTAGCTCATTGCTACCCATCACAAAGACCCAATTCATGGGTAACAAACATACCATGAAGTTCTATTCTTGTGTCTCATCTTTCCTACTTTCTTGCTGCCGCGCAGTCTGCCACACGGACTTGCAATGGGTGTGGGATGCTAGGCTAAGCAGCTCTGAAGGCTGGATCCTTCAGTGGCTCTGCTGATAGCTCTGAAGCAGTCTCCCAGGCTTCCCCCTAAGATGGACTCACCTGCGCTAGAGGGGGCTGGCTGGACATAGAAGCCTCCAGGCAAACAGTGGCCAGCAGACATTTCTGTCAGGTAATAAAAGTTCCAGAGACCCGAGAGGACAACATTTACATTGGAGCAGAAGCCCCGGCTCTGGCCTTCCCTGCACAGGGGTATAGCCACAGAGAGGAGCAGCCTTAGGTGCCTGGGCAGACGGGCAGGACTGGTCACTCTGGGGCCACAACCCCTTTAGAGTCTTGGGTCAGAAGACTGTACCTGAAACCTCTTCATGTCCATGACTCGTTCCAGTGAGACAGAGCAGTCCGTCCAGTACACGGTCCATTCTTTGTCATCCCCCACCTCCTTCAGGCCACACGTTTGTGCTGCCCGACGCACTGTGGTGAGACAGAGGTCAGCAGGGCCGGCCTGCCACTGGTAATGAGCCTTGGGACTAGGCTGGGTCTGGTAAGGAACAGACCTGCCCAGCGAGTGGCTTGAAGAGGGAGGCAGTTCTTAGCTCTGTGGGTTAGGTACCATGTGACAATTCCTAGGTCATGGGGTTGCCAAGGCCCTTCCAAAAATCTGTGACAGAGAAAACTAGCTCCTAGCTCTCTGCTTCTGTCAGTCTTCTCTCTCCCTGAGGATGGTTTCTGGCCTACAGAGCCGACCCTCGGGAAGGGTCACACTGGCACCTCACACTCTGGGTGGCCCCTTGCACAGGTGCCACTAGGGATAAGAGGTGGGGAAGAGATGGCAGGCCTAGCTGCTGATTTTTTTTTTTAATTGCTGAAACCCCTTAAAAGCATCCTTAAAAAATCTGTTACCTGGTCTCCTCTTGTTTATGGTAAAACCTGGAAAGGATGGGGCAATGGTGACTTGCAGCCTTTTTTTTTCATTAGCCAACTGTGGAGATTCCCGCCCTACCGCTGAGACTAACTGGGACAGTGGTGTCTCAGCTGCCAGCAGCTGAGCCAGGGGACTCAGTACAGTTTACAGGCCAACCTGACAAGATCCAGGGGCAGGGAGCCTGTAAGGGGGACCATCCCAGAGCAAAAGCGACAGCTGTAGGTGACCTCTTAGGCACAGTGATATGAGTGACAACCCCAGTGCTTACCACTCTCATACTTGCAGCTGGTCAGGTTGATGGCCAGGGGTCTGGAATGGAGGAACAGCATGAATCAGCCAGGGTGGAAAAGAAGGCTCTGGGCTGCCAGGCACCCATATGAAGGGACACTCAACAAATTCACAATGTAGTTCATATTCTCTAGAAGCTACTGAAAGGAAAAACTAGGGTATGTAAATGTGCCAGCCCATGTGGTGCTGAGTTTTGTTTGTTTTTGTTGTGCCCAAATTCTGGTACTCCCTGTCCTCTTTTACAGATCAAAGGGAAGGCCTTGGATCTCCGCACCCCCAGCTGCTGAAGGGAAGCGGGGTTAAATGTGCCAGCCCATGTGGTGCTGAGTTTTGTTTGTTTTTGTTGTGCCCAAATTCTGGTACTCCCTGTCCTCTTTTACAGATCAAAGGGAAGGCCTTGGATCTCCGCACCCCCAGCTGCTGAAGGGAAGCGGGGAGGGGGGGGAGGGGTGTCTCTGGAGCTGGGCAGGTGAGTCCAGGGAACAGCTACCTGCGTTTCCGCCTTCTCTTTCTCCTCCCAAGTTCCAAGTCATCGGAATCAGCGGGGGCTATGATTTTCTTTGGAATTTTCTTGGCTACAATGGATAAGGGAACTCCAGTCCCCAAAGCCTTATAGTCGGACTTTGAGGGTGCCTGCTGAGAAGGGTTAGCAGGGATGGTAGCTTCCCCTTTAACACCCTCCTCCTGGGATTCCTTCTCCTCAGCATCGTCTTCCTCTGATTCCCTGGCCTTGCAGGTATTTGGCTCCATCCTCTTAGATCCTGCGGGGCGAGAGGTGGGAATGAAATATGTATCAGAGCACCCTCTTGGCCCAGGAAGGCCTGCAGGAGTCCACCCACAGAAAATCATGGTGTTACAAGGCAGTGTTGCTGCCCCTTCAGAACAAAACAATCCCACTGCAGAATGGATGTTTCCGAGAAGGTAACGGGAGCCCTGGGATGCCTATGAAGTGCTGGATTTGCTGACAAGCCCCAATCATCCAAGGTCACTTCATACAACATGCTGGGCTGGACAGACCTGGCAGGGACCACGACCAGGGCTTTTTGTTCGTGAATGGGAAGGGGGATGGCTGGCTCCTTCCCTGTTCCGTGACTCAGTTTCCCCACGTGTACACACTGGGGCCAGACACTGGATGGCTAAGACCGCTTGGGCTCTGATGTCGGAGAGGAAGCCCCAGGCGGACAGTGCGCACCAGAGGGTCGGGAGGGAGCGGAATGGCTCTGGGTCGGCCCCTAACGGCCCGGGGCGGGCCTCCTTTGGTCGCTCATGTCTGCCCTTTCCCCGGTTCCTGCTCCTTCCCGGGCGTTGCTGGGCCTCTGGGGCCGCCTCCTTGTCCTACAGGACTGGCTCTCCCCGCCGCCGCGAGGGGGAGCCAGCGCCCCAACCGGGTTCGCTCCCGGCGGCGGCGTTGGCACCTCGGGAAGCGAGCCGGAAGTCGCCGTCGCCATGGACACGAGGGCGGCCCCCTTTGGAGGAACGTTCTGGGGGCGCGGCCTCCTGAGAGCCACGCCCACTCGGGCACGGGCCGAGGCCGTCTTGGGCGGAGCCGGAATGTCGCGGGGGGGCGCCGCGCCCGGGAGCCTGCCTCCTCCTCGGGTGGGTGAAGGCGGCAGCTCTGGGGCGCCGGGGATGGGTATCCTTCCGCCTTCACGCCAGTTCGCACAAGTCCGACCGCCACCCTTTCTTGAACGCACGGGCCACGCCCGGAGTTCGGCCAGCTCTGTGATCGGGACAAGTACCCGCCGGCCACTCCTCAGTCATTTCAGGAACCACGTCTGGTGCAGTGTCTGCCCTCGGGAGGGCCAGCGTTTCGCACCCGTGCCTTCGCGCTCGCCCTGCTGAGCTGAGCAGCTCCATTCGCTAAAGGCCTTCGGAATACGCCTTCACTGGCGCCTCCCCGTCGCCACATCCATCAAACTCAGCCCGAGCTGTCACTTCAAGATTACTCCGTGTGCCTAAATCTAGAGGGCACTTCAAAAAATGTCCCTCTTTTAAAAAGACATGGGCATTTTCTTATTCACAGACTTACTGACCTTTCTTCAGCATACTCTATTACCCGCCTCCTTGAAATGCTTGGCTTCTGGGGTGATGATTTTTTTCTCTTTCAACAAATATTGTTCCAGGCACTGTTCTAGGACATGACCTATACTTTTCTGCCTGAATTGCCACCATTGTGGAACCTCTTAATTAGACGGCCTGATTCTGTTCTTCCCTCCTTAATCCATTCATTGCAGTTCAAGTATTCTTCCTAAAATGCAAACTTGTTACTCTCTAATTAAAAACTCTTTTAAGGTTTCCTATTAGATCAAATCCAAAACCAAATAGTACATAAGGTCCTCCATCAAAAAGCAAGCAAAGAGGTGAAGCCCTGGGCTGAGCCATCCCTTCCCACCGTGCTCAAAGAGAGTCCCAACTCCTAAGTACCACCATAAAGAAAACCTATTTGACTTTTTTCCCTTTATGGAAAAACTTATTTGGGCCAGAGAAGGCTTTCCTCTGAACAGCAAGTCCTAGAGAAAAACTGGGAAAATCCTGCTATTTGGGCTCATCACCTCCAACACAAAAGTCATTTTGCTATAATGGTCATCTCCACTCTCCTCAGAGTGAGCAAAATGAAGTGAGGTTATTGAAACCTGTACATGCAAATGCTTCCAGAGAGAAGCATTAAATGAAAATTACTAATGTGCCAAAAACATGATGGTGACCAAAACTTTTTTATAGGAATTTGAATGTTCCCCATACAAATTGTTAAACCATTTTTCTTATGAAACAGATTGTAGTGCAAATTCTGCCTCATTGCAATCAGACCTCTAAAATTCTACAGAAAGGCTTCACAGAAGACCGAAGCAGAGAAACTCAACTGCCTGAGCAAATGAGCCTTAGCTCAGGGCCCGCCAACTAAGGACAGCACCACAGCCGCTGCCTGGAGAGGCTGTCACAAGGGCACAGTTTTTGGGGCTGCCTGTGCGGCAGCCCTGACTGCACTACACATAGGATTACTTGGACAAATTGTTCAGCACCATCAGCCTCCAACTCTTCATCTGCTAAATGGCAGTACTAAAAAGACCTGCACTTTTAAATTTGTGAGGACACCTCATTCTCACATGAGATGATGTTTGTGGAGAATACGCAGCTCAGCAAAGCCCCAGCTCCATTCGCTGCCTCCAGGCAGAGCAGAGGGCAGAGTCAAAGCGAGTGTTGGGGGGCTGGAGGAAAATTCAAGGTAGCAAGGTAGCAAATGTGTTGTAAGTAGGGCATGTGGAGGAAGCAGGGGAAGAATGTAAGGGAAGGAAGAAGAAATAAGAAATCTGTGGTGGGCAAAGAGAACAAGAAAGTGAGAACAGAAGAGATGGGGGCACAATGTCAGAGGCACACAAATGATCATCTTCCCCAGACTTCATATGAAAAGACAAGTCCACGTATAAAGTCAGGAGTAGGTAATCCTTGCACACACTCCCGTAACAACAGACCTGACAGGCTTGTCCAAGACAAAAAGCAGCAGATAAATTCACGAGGGCCATTCATTTGCTTTATTCTGCGGTTGCTCCTCTTTAAAGAGCTCACTCACTTCTCTATCCCTCCCCTTGGGCTGAGTCAGGTGAGAAGGCAGTCACGGAAGGGCCCAGACGGCCAGTATGGACGGCTCTCCGGGAAGGGACTTGGATCGGTCGGAAAGAAAATGCTTCCGGAGGGATTACTGCTGCTCCTGGGCTGTCAAGGCCACCAGTGCGGCCTGCACCTCTCCTGCCTCTGCTGGCGGCAGCAGACAGTCCTGAATGAGGGCCAGCGCGGCCGCCTCCGTCAGGCTGCTGAAGTCCTGGGATGTTTTGACGGGGAGGTGCCCAGCCAGCTCACACAGGGCAACATTAAAAGCCTCACCTTCCTTTATCCCAAAGCTGGACTTCCGGGCCCACAGAATTACTCGGACCCCCATGAGAGCTGAAGAAGGCGATGTCTTTCCAGGTGGGGCCCCCCGGGTCACAAACAAATTATGTGCAATCTCGTGATCACTCAGATAGTCAGTGGCCCGACATACCCTGCCTATCAAGGCTTCCAAGTCAGGTCCTGGCCTGCTAGCGTAGAAGAGGAAGCCGGGAGCTGGGAGGCCCTGGAGCAGATGCAAATGGCCTTCAGGGTCCAGGGCCTCGCTTGGTGCCCCCTCCACAGGCAGTCTGTGGGACAAGTAATATCCATGCAGGTGGAGGTGGTTCACGGAGGCCAAGCCTCCCAGGCTGTTGAAGCCGATGCGGAAGCCTGGGTGTGAGCTCAGCAGCACGGCCTCAACCCCAGCCCGCAGCGCACTTGGCAGCAGGCGCTGGGGGAGTCCTAGGGAGGGCTCAGGCACCAGCAGCATGTGGCCCCACTCCAGGGGGCTGACATTGATCATCACAAGGACGTCCTCTTGCGGGAGGGCACCTGGGAGATCAGGCTCCCGGCGCAAACGGAAGAGGACTTCTCCTGGCCGTATCTTGTTGAAGTTAAACTGTTTGGGGTCAAATGCCTGCTTCACGCTCCCGATGTTCTGCGGGAGCCTCCTCTGCACGCCTCGCTCCACATTCAGCTGAGCCACAAAGCCCACAGCACCTGGGAGGGTTTGGGTTTGCAGCTCCCCCAGGCGGTAGCGGAACAGCCCCAGCTCCATTCGCTGCCTCCAGGCAGAACGGAGGGCAGAGTCAAAGCGAGACAGTGGCAGCCCATCTGGGAGGCTGGGTGCAATCCTCGGCCACTGAATCCCCTGCAGCACAAGATCCTTCTGCCCATAGACAAAGTCAGGAATGCCATGCCCTTCCCAGTCCTCACTGTTCGAAGGTAGCAAATAGGAAGTTTCATTTGAATCATGCGGAATAGCCATGGGGTTGACCTGAAACAATCGTAAGAGATGATATGATTCATGCATGGTGCTGTCCATTTCCAGAGATTTTATTTTAAAATAAGCTTTATGTTGTGTTCTGACTACAAAAGTAATATATGCCTTTGGTAAAATATTTTGAAAATGTAGAAATCACTCATAATTCCATTACCTGAAGATGAGCACACATTTTTAAATTAAAAATACATTATCAAATATTTTTCTTCCTAAAAATACATAAGTTGAGGAAACTTTCTTAATGGAGGGAAAAAACAAGATAAAATACAACTCTTATACCAATGACCAGGGAGAGTCACAATGTACATTTAGTCTCATTTTCACTTCTATCTTTAGCCCATTTTAACCAATCTTTAACTGCTGTATATATAGCTTGTTGCCAGTTTTATACTATTATCCACAATGTTGTCAACATCCTGCTTCCAGATGTTTTTATTTTCTTTTAAAATAAAATCCCACTGACCCAGTAGATCTCTAGGTCAGAGTAGGCTCATGGCTCAGGGTTTTGATTCACTCTATCAGACTGCCCTCCAGAAACTAGCGTTCCTGTGCATGAGAATGGCCAGGGTTTCAACGCTGGCCACTCCTTTTATGGGAACAGATTTCCCACTGGTCCACAGTGATTCTAAATGGCCCATGTGTCCGTAAGTGCTGCCGGGGCCGACCCTTCACGGGGGATGCTGGCGCCTGTCTTCATCTCCTCCTGGTCTGTGGACCCAGGAGTGCCCTGAAGAGGGCTTGCTGGAGGCGTACCTCAGTAAAGCCGCTCCAGGCTAAGTCTGGGTCGCTCAGCTGGGCTGCTCTACAAACTTCACATTAATAAAACAGAAGGGAAATGAAAAATCGTATGAAATGACACATCAAAAGTCAAGCTAAGTTTAATGGGTAGTAAGATGAAAAAGTTCTAGAGATTGATTGCACAATAATGTGAGTGTATTTAATACTGTTGAACCATACACTTAGAAAGTTAAAATGGTAAATCCTAAGTGTTTTTTTACCATAAAAATTTTTTTCAAAAACCATGCTAAGTATAATTTTGACAATAAAATGTGAAGTCTTAAATCACTCTATGGAAACTGAGCCTCACACATTCTCTATACAGATATACAAATGGTCAATAAAAAAGAGGCTTAACATCACAAACCATCAGGTAAATCAAACCACAGTGAGATACACCTCACACCCATTAGAATGATTACTTTAAAAAAAAAGTGTTGGTGAGGACACAGAGAACCTGGAATCCTATGTGTTATTGGTTGGAATATAAAATGATGCAGCCCCTATGGAAAACAGTATGGCACTTCCTCAAAAAATTAAAAATAGAATTACTATATGACCCAGCAATTCCACTTTTGGGTATATACCCAAAAGAATTGAAAGTAGGTTCTCAAAGAGGTATTTGTACACCCATGTTCACAGCAGCATTAATCCCAATAGCCAAAAGGTGGAGGCAACCCAAGTGTCCATTGATAGATGAAGAGATAAACAAAATGTGGTATGTTCACACAATGGAGTATTACTCAGCCTTAAAAAGGAAATGCTGACACAGCGCAACACTGAGGACATTATACTAAGTAAAATAAGCCAGACACAAAAGGACAAACACCCTGTGACTCCACCTGTACGAGGCCCCTAGAGTCGTCAAATTCATAGAGACAAGAGTGGTGGTTTCCAGGGGCTGGGGGTAAGGGGAAGGAGAAGCTGTTTGCTGTTTAATGGGTGAAGAGTTTCTGTTTTGCAAGATGAAATTGTTCTGGAGACTGACAGCTCAACCCTGCTGAGCAGTACAACTACACAGTTAAGCTGGTACATTTTGTTATGTGTTTTTGACCAAAATAAAAAAGGTCAAGATGGTAAATTTTATATTATGTATTATTTGCCACAATTAAAAATTTTTTAAATGAGTCTCAATTTGCTATTTACTTGAGTTAAGTAAGACACTATTCACTTACCTTCATTCATTCATTCATTTATTCACTCATTCATTCATCCAGGTCAATGCCCAGCTCACACCCATTCCTGATGTCCGGGTACCTCTTCAGTGCATCCTGCTCCATGCTCAGCAGGGCCATAGAACCAAAGTGTTTATGAAGTAACTGCTGCGTGTGAGGCAATGAGGACACAGCAGCAAGAGAAGCGAACAAGGTACCTGTCCTTGTGGAACTTACAGACACTACGCAAAACGAACATGTTCACTACCCTGGAGTGATAGCATTTGGTAGGAAATAAGTGACAACAATAGAGGGTAACTAAGAGGGGGGATCAGCGCATCCTATTTCAGCAAGAGGACACGCAGGGTCCTCTGAGATGACAGCTAAGACATGAGGATGAGAAGCTTGCAGTGAAGAGCAGAGGACAGTGTGTTCCAGGCAAAGGAAATTCCAAGTCCAAGACTCTCCGTCAGGCAGGTGCTCGGGCTGTTGAAGGAACAGAAAGGAAGCCAGTGTTCCTAGAGCACAGCCAACATGGGGGCGAGGGCCCCAGATGAGGCTGGAGAGAAACGCAGGGCCCAGATCAGCAGCAGGACCTTAGGCATCACTGTCAGGAGCTTGGATTTTATTCTAAATGGAGTAAGAAACCATTAGCAAGTTCTAAGCAGGACCATCTAATATTTTATAAACCTTTTTCTAACTGCTGTGTGGAAAATGGACTGTAGAGGACCAAAGGGAAAGCAGAGAGACCATTTAGGAGGACGCAGTGAGGGCGACTGGACAGCCGGGATGGCAACAGAGAGGAGCGGGTGACTCCAGTCAGGTTCTGGAGGCCAAGCCAGCAGGGCCTTGGTGGCACAGTGGCCACAGGGACTGAAGCAAAGGGGAGAACTGGGAGTGACTCAGCTTTAGAAATTTTACACAACATGGTGGCATTTACAGAGATGGAGAAACTGGGTGCATGGGGTGGGGGTGGGAACAGGTTGACTAGAGGAAGGGGGGAATTAAGAGTTCAGTGTCCATTACTGACTTCAAGATGCAGCCTGGGCATCCAAGAACAGAAGTGGTGTAGGAGTTGGAAAGCCAAGCCTGGAGGTGCAGAGGAAGGTCTGGGCTACAAACAAAATTCAGAGTAATATTTAAAGCCAGGGACTAGGAGCAAGGACCTAAGACCAAGATGACACCCAAAGGCTAAAAATATGAGCAAAGACCTATCAATCAGCAGGATCAATAAAAATGGGTCCTGTTTACATGAGAGTGAACAGGCAAAGGCATGACCTAGGAACAAAAAGGAACGCTTCAGAGTGACAAATCAAGAGTGCACGTGACAGGACGGAACACTAGTTGCATGCCCGTCTTGTGCCAGGCATGGGCTGGGGCTTCCCGAGTCCACTCAGTGACCTCCAACAAGTAAGTCTGTGAGGTAGGTGTCATCCCAGGAGAAAGGTGGGGGAGGTGGTTTTGGGTGTCTGAATTCTGGCTCTGCCATTCAGTAGTGATGGGACCCTGAGCCCCTAGAATGGAGTCCACTTCCTCACCCTGGCCTCTGGGCTCTCAAGAGCTGCCCACCCCCCTCAACTCCTCTCATACCACTCTTTCCGTTGCCTACTCCGCTTCTTACCTTTCCAAAGTTGTTCATGCCCAGGGTCTTGGTGCTGTCTGCTCTCTGGGCCTAAATACCCTTTCCCCAGATTTTCTGCACACAGCTGGCTCCTTCAGGTCTCAGAGCAAATGTTATCACCTCAGAAAAACCTGTGTGGCCATCCTATCGGTTGGCCGAGGGAAACAGGAAGAAAGAAATAGTATTACAAGCAGGGAAACAATGTCAGGAGAAAAGAAAAGTAGAAGTCACAAACCTAAGAGTTGGCACTTTGACAAAAATATGATCAATGAACAAACCTTTGAAAGATCCAACAGACAGTTTTACAAGTACAGCACTAGAAGCTATTTTTAAACGTGTATCAGCAACTCAGTTTTATCACCATATGGGAGTTGATCAGGCACAGGAAGGGTAGTGTGCTGACCAGCCTCGCCACGAACTGTTGCATGACTCAGAATGCCTATTTAATAATTTATAACGAGAAACGTGCCAAACAGCACAAAATGTTCTTATTGGCTGATAGGTAGGATCCCGCCTTTGTACACAAATCTACCAGGAACCAAAATTATAATCAGCAGGCCATTCAATGAAGAAGGGTTGAGAGCCACATGAGGCGGCTGGGAGAGCCGGATCCCAGATGGCCACTGTGGCCCAGGGCTGATTCCCACACTGCCACCTGAAGGATACAGTCTCACCACAAAGGCCAAGGATTTGCCTTGGCTGACCAGTGCTCCCTCCCCTCAGTCTAGCCCAGGAGGCACTGGAGCAGCTTCTTGCTCTCTGCCTACCCTTTTACTAACTGAAGACCAACCCTTCCTTGGACAGAAAGAGCCCACCGTCAAGAGAAAAAATGATCAGGTTGGGACAGGATACTATTCTCCGGTGATGCTTGGACTGTGTGCTCCCATCGCTCTGAAGCCCCACTTCTTGGAGTGGAGTACTTTTTTTTTGGTGACACAAACAAACTATTTAACATTTCATGACATGGGCAGTCTCCATTCTCAAGAGTCCAGAGAACTGTGAGGAGGAGAGAAAGTGGCATGTTTTTATAGGAAATAGACAAAGAAGAGAAAATCAAAAATGAACAAGGGACAAGGAAAACATTTGTGTTACGTGGTGATCAAGGATTGGGCCCTGGATGGCAAGGGGCTTCTGGGAAGATGGAATTCTTACAAGAACATGAAACTTTAAACGTTAGGTTTGGGTTTGTGCTATAACTGGAGTGAAGAATTTCCACAGTGGTATGATTCACATGTTGATAGAGTGAGTCTTACTAAAGTCACTCTCAGATGATCACCTTATTAGTGGGTGCTGGGAAAACTATGGTCACTCAGCAAACATTTACTCAACTGCCACATATCAGGTCCTGGAAATCATGATTCTCATAGCTTCTCACAGGGCATTGAGTCTAGTAGGAGAAACAGACATTATTAACCCTACTGTCACCCAAGTAAATATAAGTTGCAAACATGATATATGCTGTCAAGGAGAAGCACTAGGTACTTTGCAGATGAAAGTCAGATTCCTAATCTAGTCTAGGGAATCAGGAAACACTTCCCTGAGGAAGAGATGGAGGAGGAACTGAGAACCGATAATGGCTGAAACACAGAAATCCAACAGGAGAGGCAGAGAGAAGCTGAAGTCAGAGGGCTGGTACTTGAGTTTTAACCATTCAATGTTTTGTTTTAAACTGAGACTGACATGCTCAGATTTAGACTTCACAGAGCTCAACAAGTAGAATAAATCAGAACCAAGAATGAATCCCTACAATCTCATTTGTCAATTATGCTTCAATAAAGCTGAAAACAAAAAGGAATCTCACCTTCAGCTCCTCCTCTCAGCAGCTTGGAATCCTCCCCTTTTGGAACAGTGCTAGTTTCATTCATTCACCCATGCATCCGATAAGTATTTACTGAGGGCCAACTACGTGCCAAGCATCGTCTTAGGGGTTGAGAGGGGACAAGAGCAAACAGGTCAGAGCCTCAGTCCTTGCCGCCTCGGGACACGTGGTCTGGGCACGGGGTGGGCAGAGGAGGGCATGCCTGCCTGAATGAGGAGAGCGACGGGAAGCCTTGAGAAGAGGCTTGGACCGAAGTGACCTCTTTCTAAATGCCCGAGCCTGAACAAGTCCCTGAACCTTTCTGGACCTCACCTACCTTGCAGGACCGTTAAGAAACGAAGATAACATGCATACAACGCCTGGCACTCGGCAGGCCCTCAGTAGACAGCTTTCAGTGGGCAGCAAGGTTATGGTTATTTCTGCAGAGGCGGCGCGGGGGCTGCGTCACGTGCGACCAGTGCCCGGGGTACCGTCTGGATGAAGTCCCCGCTAGGCAGAGGGGCAGCCGACCGCCTCCAGCCACCCAGCAAGTCTCAAGGTCTCCCGTATGCCGTGGCTCCGGGCACTTCTCCGAATCCCCTTACCTGACCTCGCCCGGAGCCACCACTGCTACCACCTACTACAGCTGAGGTCGAGGGACCGCGCGACTTCCTCGCGGCGACCAGCAGGACCATGGCGGGGCCTTGGCGGCTTTGACGCATGCGCAGCCCGCACGCGAGCACGCGGCTGGTCCGCCCCGCCCACCCGGAGGCGGGGCCGTGAGGCCTGGGCTCCTGGCCGGAGCGTCCGGCCCCGCCCCGGGCCCCGCCTCCAGCTCGCCCGGGACCTCTCGGAGCCCGGAGCCACCGGGCGAAACCGAGCCGGGATCTCCTGGGAGCTCGAAGCAGGGGACGGGCCCGGGGGCGGTGGCCCCAGGAGCGGTTGCCGCGGGGACGGGACGGTGACGCCGCTCGAGGGCGGAAGTGAGAAAGTTGCCGGCGTCCCGGGACGAGTTGGCGGAGCTGTGCTCACGGCGATGGGGGGCTCGGGCAGTCGCCTGTCCAAGGATCTGCTGGCCGAGTACCAGGTGCGCGGGACCCGGGTCCCAGAGAGCTTGCGTGCGGGCGTGCGCTCGGGAGCGGGGTCCCGCAGCAGGCGGCAGGGCGGGCGCGGCCTCCGGGAGGCCCCGCTGAACCCCTTCTCGTTTTGCCTTCCAGGACCTGACGTTCCTCACCAAGCAGGAGATCCTCCTGTGAGTGCCGTCCCGTCCCCCCTGGAGACGGCTTCGGGGGAGGGCTGTGTCTTGCAGAGGGCAAACTGAGGCCCCCCGGAGGGAGGGTCGGGGCCTGCCCGAGGTCAGCAGCCGAACCGGAACTGGGTTCAGGGCCCCGAGCCGCGACTGCCTTTCTTGGGCACGTCTCCCGCCCGCGCCGGGGCCCCGCTGGTGCACAGCGGAGCCACCTAGCAGCCGCCGGCCAAAGCTGGGCGCCCTTTGACCCTGCGCTGCCCTGGCTTCTACACACCCGAACTTCCTGCCCCAACCCGGCAGGGGCTGATGGTGGCGCTAGGCTGACTTTGCCTATTAACAAAGCCAGAGGTCTGGGAGGGCCTGGTCCTTCTCCCAACTTTATCTTAAAAAAACTAACCGTTAACGCTTAGTGGGCACTCACCATGCGCCAGGATCTGTGCTAAGTGATCGCCTACATTACCTAATTTAATCCTCATGAAGGAGGTAAGGGGACAGTGAAACAGGTCAGAGTTTGGTAACTTGCCTAAGACTAAGCTTCAAATAAGAGTACTTGAACTGGGGCTGGAACCCCTTTCTAGCCGTGTGCCAGCTTTATGTGGCCAGGGCATTTAAGTGGAGATTCCTGTGCCTCCCTTGGCAAAAATTAACCCCAGTGGGAAGGAAGTGGGGGCTGAGGAGGAGAGAGTTTAGGGCAGCTGCTAAACAGAAGGAGGCTTAGAGGAGCAGGAGATCCCTGAGATTTCAATTTGACTCTTCCTGCTCGTCAACGCCAATGTCTGGCTGCTTTTCGAACCTCTCTGCCCCTCGTGGAGCTCTAGCATCAGTGCCCAACATAGTGCCTGCAACAATGGGCCCTTAGTAAACACCCACTGCAAGAGTGGACTCGCAGCTTGTACTGTCTTGTGACATATTCCCTTTGGCTTATCACGCCTTGATGCCTCAAAAGTTGTGTGTGTGTGTGTGGCTTAGCTCCTCTCCTGGCTCATAATGGGCAGCAAGGTAGGAGTGGGGATGTGAAACACACAGGTCTCCCCTCCTTCTGCCAGAGCCCACAGGCGGTTCTGTGAGCTGCTTCCCCAAGGTCACCGGAGTGTGGAGGAGTCACTGCAGGCACGAGTGTCTTTGGAGCAGATCCTCGGCCTTCCAGAACTCAAGGTGCCAGCCCCCACCCGCCCTCTGCTGTGTATCTTGATTGAGATCATGTGGTCACTGGTCACCATTCTGGTCTTTTCTGTTTAACCCTGGTTTCCCAGGGGAAACCAAAATCACCCAGTGAAATTATCTAGTATGGTGTTTTTCAAGCTGGGATTCCCAGACATATTCTCGGAGATTCAGAGTTTTGTCCTTTAAGAGGAGTTGAGTTACCTATTCCAGAGGCTACTGCCTCTCCCCTGGGCTGCGGTGAAAATTTCTGTGCCAAGGGCCTGGCCTAGTGCCTATTTACCCAGAAAGTGTTCAAGTACCTGTATTTTACAATAAGCAGCCCATCTTGTTCTCTTTGCTTAAGATGCCTTCCTCCTCCTTCTTTGCCCCCAGGCCCGCCCTTGGCTTAAACTGACTCCCAGGAAAGCATCCCTGTCCCTTCCCCAGCTGAGTTAGTTGGTTCTGCTACCCTACAGTGGCCCCCAAGCTCTGAGCTCATGGTGTGGGTGCTGTGACATGCTCCCTCCAGTCCCCAGTACGGGGTGATGAGCTTGCAGCTGGGGCTGCGTCCTGTGGCGCTCACGGAAAGCTCTCTTGCCTAGGCCAACCCCTTCAGGGAGAGAATCGGCAGGGTCTTCTCTACATCCCCAGCCAGAGACAGCCTGAGCTTCGAGGACTTCCTGGACCTCCTCAGTGTGTTCAGTGACACAGCAACCCCAGACGTCAAGTCCCACTACGCCTTCCGCATCTTCGGTAAGGACCACCACCCCCTCCCACAATGTCTGGAGAGCTGAGGTCATTGTGCACGGAGCCTTGGGGCTCATCCTGACCACATCTGTCTTGGCTTCCTGAACCTGCTCTCCAGATTTTGATGATGATGGGACCTTGAACAGAGAAGACCTGAGCCAGCTTGTGAACTGCCTCACGGGGGAGGGCGAGGACACGCGGCTCAGTGCTTCGGAGATGAAGCAGCTCATTGACAACGTGAGCAGCTGCGATGGGCCAGGCCAGGGAGAGGGAGGCAGGCTTGGGGCCTTGGCTGACGCTACTGACGCTTCCCCTTCTCTAGATCCTGGAGGAGTCCGACATTGATAGGGATGGGACCATCAACCTCTCAGAGTTCCAGCATGTCATCTCTCGCTCACCAGACTTTGCCAGGTATGGCGGTGGTCCCCCTGCATTCTGGCCCCCATCTGCTGCTGCTGGGTGTGGGATGTTATGGGAGGTGGTCCCCTGGGTGAGAGGAAGCCCCCTGCTTCCTGTCAGTGTCTCCGGGGAGCTCTTCCGAAGGAGACTGGCAGACGGGACACGACCTATCCACGGGGGCTCGGGGGAGAGGGCAAGTTCGGGTTCGGTCCCCACCCCTCTCCTCTAGCAGCAAACCCCACCTACTCTTCTCCTGCTCAGCTCCTTCAAGATTGTCCTGTGACGGGCCACAGCTGTCCCAGCAGCCTGTCGAAGAACCAAGCCACTGCTGAGCTGTGGCAAAGGTCACGCACACCTGTTGCCTGGGCCGAGCTGGCCCGCCTGGAGCTGGCACCATGCAGTTCTGCCCCAGGCAGGAGAGGGCCCTGCACCTTCAGGGCCATCCCCTGCTCGCTGTCACTGTCATCGCTCAGTGTTTCTACCAACGAGTAATAAACGTTGAGAGGTTTTTACCCTATTTGTGATGCAAGGAACACTGGTATGAGGAAGGACTGGACCGTCAAGAGCTGTGGTCTCGCTGAGAATGGGGAGGACCTAGAGGCCAGCAGAGTCAAACTGCGGCCTGCATGAAGGGGCAGCACAGGGCCAGGCCTTGTTCTCTCCTGATGGTGCTGGTGGTAACGTGAATTTATGTGTTAATATGTGTAGAACCATGTACTTGAAGAACAGTCAATTTTCCTGTATGATCATTTTAAAAATAAGACTTTCAGAAGTTATAAAAACCTTGCCTGCACCCCTGAACTGAACTGGGGGTGCAGAGTAAAGGGCCTGAGGCAGAGCAAATGAATCCCCGCCCGTCAGCGCATTAAACTCCCCACCTCAGGAGGCAAACGCATCTGGGAGAGGTCGTTGCCGGGACAGGCTGGGAAGAGGGGGCTCAGAGCCCCGGAACTTGGGAGGACCGGGCCATTCTCTAGAAGTCAGTCATTTAAGAGGAAGGACTGTGATTCATTTCTAATTCTTTAGATTTTATTAAAAAAAAAAAAAAGTAAAGTGCATCTTATTAAAAAAATATATAAAACCCATATAAACCCAGGGTCCCTGTGCTGGGCAGTGTCAACATCCCTTCGAGTGGAGGCAGGCAGGGGTGAGGGTGAATGGAGAGAGGGCTCCCAGATGAAGCTGCGGAGGATGTGGGGAAGGGGGCACCGGGCTCCTTCAGGCCACGATGGGGGCAGGTGGGCACAGCCTCCTCCGCGAACTCTGAGGGAAAGGCAGACATGGCCGAAACTAGCTCCTGGGCCCCACTGCCTGTCTTTACATGGCCACAGCCTGATACAGGCTGGACAGGTCCCAAAGGTGAGTCTGAGCTCAGGGTCTGTGAAGGCTGCACTGCCAGCACTGCCCTCCCGTCCCCAAGGTGACAGGATAGTGGCTGCAACAGCTTGGCCAGCTGGCAGGGCAGGACGCAGAGCGTGAGCGGGGCCCTGGCTCTGCAGTGAGGCAGGCGGCCTGCAGCAGCAGGGTGGGGCAGAAGGCCGACGAGGGCGGCCTGTGAGGGATCTCCGGCTCGGCCTCACCTACTCCAATGCGTCGTCGTTGCCCTGCCGAGGCCACGGCCACCTGAGTCCTCGTGTCCTGCCCTGGCCCTCGGGGGTGGCATTCTGGGTGTCTCACCCCTCACTCGTTTCACATTTTCAACAGTTTTTTAAACAAAGGGCTCAGTTTACATAAGGGGCACTGTTCTGCCCACCAAGGCAGGCCGCCCCGGGCGTGCAGGGCAGGCCCCCATCTTCTGCTGGGCCTCAGGCCACGGCTGCCCTGGTGGGCGTGGGCCTCGCTACTCATCCGAAGAGCAGCAGGCCAGCTGGCTCCGCGGCTCCCGAGGGCGGAGCCCCACAGCCGTGTCCCACGAGGAGCCAGGGTCCAGGCGACGCCCTCGGAGCCCTCCATCCCTAGGGCCAGAAGCCTGCTCACACCACAGAGTCCCGGATCTCGGAGCCCAGACGGACCCGGGGCCGGGGGCACACTGGGGACACCTCCACGAAGCTGTCCTGGACGCTGAGGGGCCTCTTCTCTGACTCCGTGAAGACCCGGGGTCCTGGGGAGCTATCTGACAGGGCCTGGTAGCCTCGGTGGTCAAGCGGGGTGCTAGGGGGGCCCACGCCATTGAGCGGCCGGGTCTCAGGTGGCAACGCAGGGCGGGTCTTGGGGTGCACACTGGCACACTCCCCCTGCTTCAGGAAGATTTTCATGCCACCCCGGTGCCGGTAGAGGAAGAATAAAATGAGGAGTACCACGGCAAACACAAACAGCGCACACATCACCAGGAACTCGGTCCAGTAGGACTTGTCTGCACCCCAGCCGGCCTTGCCACCAACAGGCGCGCTCACTCGTGAGGTGCTGACGACAGGCACACTGCCCCTCCGGTCGGACTGGTCTGCTGTTGCATCCTCTACCACCTTTGGGCAGTAACTGGCCACCAGCTGTCGAAAGCCCTCCTCCAGGGACCAGCACTCGATCACCCCCAGCTCCTGCTGGCTGCCCACCAGCAGCAGGTCCCCAGTGGGCAACACCCGGCAAGAGGCTGAGGCATTGAGAGGGGCCCCGTTGTGCAGCCAAAGCCGGGTTGCCAGGTTGGAGAGGAGGGGACAGGCCAAGGTATTCACTGTGTTGGGCTGGAACTGGACTTGCTCACATGGCTTCGCACCTACGGGCATTAAAGGCACAGGGTGAAACGGGGCTGGCATCTGCCCACCTCCCTCTGGGCTATGCTCTCAAACCATGACAGGCAACTCCAGGGATGTTGGGAACTGAGTCTCGCTTCCCAGAGCCCTGCTTGCAGGGCGGGAGGGATGAGGGTGTGAGGAAGGGCATTTATGCCCCCCAGTGCCTGCAGGAGCCTTCTAAGCGTGGCCCCACCTCTCCCTCACCCGGAAGGAGCCCCTTACCTGCTGGTACAGAAGACCGGGGCTTGGCCGAGGAAACGTTGCAGAGGTTCTTGGCATTAGCCCCTTCAATGTCCTGGAACCAGGGTCTGAGAGCCAGAGAGTCTGGGGTAGGCCAGGAACCCCCACCAGCATGCATCACCCCACCCTCAAGGCAGCAAAGGCCTGGGCAAGGGCCCAAGGCAGGGGTAAAAGGTAGGTGGCTTCTCCAGGCCGATTCCCTACCCACAGAGGGTCTGACTCAGCACCTCCTGTGTCTACACAGGTTTTATTTCAAATAGAAGTTACTATACTACCCTGAATTACAAAAGCAGTATGAGCCTTTAGAAAAAGTCTAGAAGGACAGCTGGATCTATATGCATCTATCTGTCTCTTGAAGCACAGCACACGTATTGACTTATTTAATAAAACGTAATAAAGAAAAAAAGTAATTTTTGATGCACTCAGAAAACCTGAAGAATTCACCTAAGCAAAAAGGCTAAAAACACTACAAAAATCCCACACAATCCACCATCCGGTGATCACGACAGCATTTTTAGTATATCCCTCTAGGTATACATGTGTGTATTCATATGTGGTTCTCTGGAATAAAACACTAGCACCAGTTACCCCTGTGTGAAACAAGGACATTCCAAGTGGGACAGATCCTATTTTGACTAAAAATACGAGTATTTTTATTTTACACATATGCAGAAAAATCTTAGAGGATACACATCAAAGTCTTACTGTGACTCCAGGTGGTGGCATTAGAGGCAGTTTTCATTTTATTTGCACTTCTCTCTATTTTCTAAGTTTTCCACAGGAACATTTTACAATCCAAATAAGTTATCTTGAAAATAATTTTTCGTGGCTTTGTTAATGGACTGTGCATAGCCTTTACTTTTTGTTACCTGAACACACCCACGTGCCGATCCTGACTCTCCATGGTGATGACATTTCATACGTTCCCATATCACACCCCCACTTTGCCAGTTACTGCCCAAAGGCAGTAGAGGACACTGCCTACTGTGGTTTATACAGAAGGCAAACACTACTGTGTAAACCACACACTTTGGAGAGTAGTAAGGGGAGCTAGTTAATAATCATACTGAGACACTGGATGCATATGAGGCTGTGCGGTGATACTACAGAGGCCTGGGGAGTTCTGAGGCCACGTGCACAGGGCCAAGGGTCAGGGCCCTTCGGGGGCTCTCACCTGGAGGCCACCTCGGCTTGGGAGAGGTGGATGCGCCTGCAGTGGGAACCGCTCCACGCGCAGTAGGGGTCGCGGGCAAGGACGCAGTCCCCACAGCTCCGGTACACGCTGCAGTTGGCCACGGGCACCTGGACCACCCCCGAGTGCGAGGCAGCATACAGCAGTCCCTGCACAGACACGGAGTGAGAGCCAGGGCCACCACCCACAGCTACATTTGGCTCGCACGCCCACCACAGCCACTCCCCAAGGGCCTCCCCTCATGCTCCAGGGCACCCCACTTCCTGACAGCTCACGCCTGAGCTGAGTGCCAGAGGGGCACCCCAAGCACGCTGCCAACGCACTCACTCTGTCCGTATCCAGGAGCAGGTTCTGCACAGGCTCTCCTGGTGAGAAGATCTGGAGCTCCTCAATGAGGTGCACCTGGGGGCCCACACCCACCGCCTTGTGCAGTCGGCCGTCACCTGCAACAGGGACAGCACTCAGGCCCTGGGCCAAGCCGCTGCCGCGTCCCAGGAGCCAAGCCCCCTTGACCCCGAGCCCGCCCTGCCGCAGGTGCTCACTGGTGCCCAGGAAGAGGACATCGTAGGTGTGGTGCAGGCCAGGCACCCGGTGGACGGCCACACGCTGGTAGCGGGCCTGGGGCTGTAGCAGCAGGAGGCTGCTGCGGACCTGGCCGTCCATCAGGAAGTGGTCCTTGAGAAAGTTGAGCACGCGGTCTGGGAGCTGCAGGGAAGAGGTGATCTTCCTCTCCCGGGCACTGCTGGTGATACACTGAAGGGGAAGGTGGCGATGAGGTGAGCACTGCTTCGGGCAGCAGGCAGGCCTGGCCCTACCTCCTCAGTGGACAGCAGGGGTGCCTGTGCCGCCCTCAGAAGCCACGCATATCTCATGCAGTTCTGCAGGGAGCCAATATCCTGACCTGGAAGTCTAGGGGCAAGGCCCAGGATGTGGGGCACCGCACGGCCTGGCTGCCAGGGTTTCCGACCCCACCCATGACCCCCCTCTTCACACAGGCTTCAGGAAGCCTGGCCACACGTCCTGCTCCTTTAGCATCCTTCCCACCATTCTCAGGGAGCCCTGGCTGACCAAGGGGCATGATGGTGCCTGCAGTTGGCTCCCACACTTGTCCGCGGACACCCTTTGCCTGCCAGTGTTCTCTGGGGAAACCCAGGGGCCCAAAGCTGCAGCGGCTCATGGACACCCCCTTTGTCGTCTCTGCCCCCTCCTCTCACTTCCGTAGTCCCTCAGGCTGCCTCCCAGCACCCATGCTCTACAGGAAGCAGCACCTACCGCTCCTGGCCGCGGCGTGGGCACCGGGTGCGTCACGGTGTACCACTGCTGTGTCTCACGGTTCACCTCCTTGTAGAGGCCGTTGAAGGCCTTCTGCACGTCCTTCATGGTGAAGACACAGATGGCAGAGCCCTCTGTGGTCCCCCCGTGCCTACAAAGGAAATGATTGGATTAAGCTGGGAGCTTCACAGCTCAGGATAAGGCTGGCTGGACCCAAGGCTTGCTCCTGAGCCCCACTCCCGGCCCCAACCCCGCCATCCAAGCCAGGTCCGCAGGGCCCTACCACTGGGACGTGAAGACCCCATAGAAGAGGGTATCACGCCAGTCCTGGGGACTGGGGCTCAGTGTGAAGACGTCCTGCAGCACATTGAAAGGGAAGCCGTCATCAGGCCGCGAGCACAGCAGCTGGGCCTTCAGGAAAGACGTCCAGCGCTGCTGCAGGACCCGCTCGCCACCCTCGTCGCCCTGGTGCAGGGGGAGAGAGGCTGGGCTGAGGCAGGCAGGTGACCCTGCCAGCTCCTCCTGCGCAGCAGCTGAGCTGGACGCCAGAAGGACAGGCAAGCCTCCAGTCCCCTGGCGTGCTCCTGGCCTTGCCCCGCGGAGCCTCCGGGGCGGCCCAGCCCCTCACCTTGCAGATGCGGGCGATGCGGGACACAATGGTGTTCTCGAAGAACTCAAACTCCTGGCCAGTCTCGCTGAAGAAGAAGTAGATCTTGTCGTCATCCCCTTGCAAGCTCCCCAGGCTCTCGGGAATGTAGGCTGAGGCCACAAAGGCTGGGTCTGTGGGGCCGGCGGGGCACGCAGTCAGCTCAGGATCCCACAGGCCCTGCCGGGGAGAGCGCCCCGCCCCAGGGCTCTGGGCACTGCCCTCGGCGGTGGGGGGACGGCTTCACCTTGCAGCCAGTTGAGGGAGCTCTCGGTCTTGGTGGGGCGGGGGCTCTGGCTCCGGGAGATGGCCGGGTCATTCCCCTGGAAGCTGCTGACTGTTCCTGTGTAGAGCTCACCATCTGCCAAGAGACATTCCCATGGGGGCGGCCCCTTCTCACTCAGGGCCCAGAGGGACCCCACGCTGCACGTCGCTGGTGGAGAGAGAAGGGAGCAGGAACCGGGGAAAGCCCAACCCGAGGGCAGTCCAGGGTCGCTGTGCACCTCCGGGGAACAGCTCCGCGGAGACCCACGAGCTCAGGCCTGGGGCCTGCCTGCCGCCCCCACGTGGGGCCTCAGTGAACGCGTCCTGCCGCTCTGCCCCGACACTCACCAACCACCAGAGCTGTGGACTTGAAATTAGGGTCAAAGGGACAACGGCCTTTGCCATCTTCCAGGAGGATGTGCCCCGCCTTGTCCTGGGCCAGAGTGAAGTTCTCCACATTCTGCAACGAAGCAGATGGGTGAGCACAGGGAGGGGTGGGCTCAGTGGGCAAGGCGGCAGGTGCCCAAGAGGGCAACTCCAGGAGTGAGGCATCAGGCAGCCCTCCTCACCATGGGACCCAGGGCACGCTGCCCTCACTGCCTGGCAGTGACCCTCTGGGATGGGCACTCCTAGTCCCTGCTGGCAGAGGGGAGACAAGGCTTTGAAAAGTGACCTGAGCCAGGAAGCGGTAGCAATGTGACTCAAAGCCAGGCATGTCTGACTCTAACGCTGGTGCTCCAACCCACAGCCTCAAGATGCCACCCTCTGCCAAGGTGTGTATAGGGTAGAAAAGCAAGGATGTGCATGCTGCAGAGGGGTGCACAAGGTGGGCTGCCAAGAATCCAGTGAGGGCTGGGGAGAGAGCTGGAGGAAGCAGGAGAGGTGTGAGTCAGGGCTGGGACAGGGCAGCGCAGCTGTCAGGCCTGGGGCTGGGCCTCAGGGCCCTTGGTGCCCATGGCTACCTAGAAGCATCCCCTGGGCCCTGCCCTTCACCAGGGGTTGGTGCAGGAGAACAGCTCTCTGGGGCAGAAAGAGGGGCACGTCCCAGGCCAGCTGCAGGCCAGCGAGTGGGGTCAGAAGGGGCACTCACAATGTAGGTGCAGATGGGGCTGAAGGCTGCTGTGCCGCAGGCGAACAGGTGGCTGCTGTTGAGTGGCAGGAGGATTTTGATGTAGTTTTGACAGTCCCGCTGGGGAGAGGCAGGAAGATGTCAGGCCCAAGCTGGCCACCAGGGGGCACTCCCGAGTCCTCCCCACCAAACCCAAGGCCAGTCCTGGGGTGAGGCCTCTGCACCTGCCCCACCCCACCCCTGATGTGGGGAACTACAGTCTTGGAATACATGAGAATTGGGGAGCCTCCTGGGGGAAGAGAAAGCTGAGGACCACAGAATGTGGATTATGGACAGGGATCTTGGGGCTCAGCTAGGTCTGGGGTTGGAAAACTCTTCCTCAGATTGGAGGTGAAAGCACAGAATCCCTCCCTCCTGGGCTTTCCTGGTCCCCTGTGAGTCCTCTTCAGAACCTCAGTGAAAGCCACTGGTCCCCCCAGGCCACCTGGTGAGGAAGCCATAGCACAGAACAGGAGGGTGCACTTGGTCGTGAGCCCTGGACCCCAGGGTTGTGGCTCCCTCCTCAAGGTGTCTAAAAGGCTATCCGACTGAGCTCCTGGTCTTCCCCAAACACTTTCTCCTCCAAGACTGCTCCCCTTTCATTAACAGTAGCTCCATCTTCTCGGGTGCTCAGGCTCCAACCCCGCTGGCAGCCTGGATTCCTGTCTCCCCCATTTCCCACCTGGAAATCCCGGTGGCCCCATCTCACAGTACACCTGGAATCTGGCCATTTCTCCCTGGTGCCACCCTGGTCTGGGCCACCACCACCACTCTCTACTATGACAGCCAGGGAGACCCTTTTAAAACAACACGCCAGACCTGCCACTCCTCTGCTCATCCCTCCAGGGTTCCCCAAGTCCCTCCGAGCAAGATCCGCAATCCTGCTCCTTCTCGGTGTGTCCTGTGGTCAGCAGCCCCACCTCCTTCTAATCCTGGCTCACATGTCACTTCTTTAATGAGGTGTAACCTGACCATCTATTAAACCACTTTCTGCCTATTGTTCTTCCTTTTCACAATTATATTTCCAGAGTCTCAAAATATCAGGGCACAGAGCAAGTGCTTAATAAATGTCTGTTGAATAGAAGACCTGAACCTGTGCCCTCACCCCAAGTCTGATGCTCTTTGGCCTTTACCTTTGCTGCCCCCTGCTCACTCAGGACACGGAAGCCTCTGGGAATGGAGGGGAGTCCTCCAGGGGAACCTCGGCTGGGCCAGCCCCCACCCAGCAGTCTGGCCAAACCAAACCAGAATCCATCAGACCTGCTCCCTCAGCTTATCGGCAGAAGGATACGACTGCCACCCCCACCCAACCACCGCTCATGCTGGAAGCTGGCATCTATCGGGCACTTATGTGCCAGGTACTTTGTACCTACTAGCTCGCTGAATCCTTAGAGTAAGTCCAGTGAGACAGACATCATTATTCCCACTTTACAGGTGGGACACTAAGGCTCCAGAGCAAACCTACCCACCCAAAGTCACACAGAGAGAAGGATAAGGCCATCCCCAGGCCTGCCCACCTCAGAAGCCTACACCCTCTCCCCCACAGCTGCTCCCACCCTCTGCCTCGGCCCTGGGCCCAGGTCTATCACCCACCATCCCTCCTCCAGGCCAGGCTGCCTGCAGGCCTGGCTCACCTGCGGGTCTTTGCCCTTGAAGCTGCACTGCTGTTTCCTGTCCGCATCTGCACTCCACAGCAGCTGAGGAACGAGAAAAGGGGGGAAGGTGAACGTGTAAGTGGACATGAAGGAGATGCTGAGTCTCCTCTCCTCGGACCCAGAAGGTCAATCTTCCTGCCCATCCTCCCCTCTGCCATCCCCTGCCCACTGCAGCCAGTGCTGGGCAGCATCTCACCTCCTGGTACCCCCCGTCTGGCAGGAAGCTGACACTGCTATTCAGTGCAAAGAGGGCCTCTCGGGCGCCCACATACAGAGTCTTGCCATCCCTGCTCAGCAGAAGGGCTGTGTAGTTGGAGATGTTTTCAGCTTCAAATCTGAGAAATGGCCGCTCTTCAGAGCCTGGGGAGAGGAGGATGGGCATTATTACCTGGGGGCCAATGCCTCCTGCGGAATCCTCTTACACCCGCCTCTAGAATGGGCCAATCTGAAAGCAGGGGAGCAAGGCAGTGGGTAGCCAGGTGTGGGAGCAGGGGGATCGGGTGTAAACATGAACAGTATTCCCCAGTCCTCAAACATGATGTGAGAAACAAGCAGGGATGAATGTGAGAGAATATTAATTATAGCACCGTTATATCATGGTGGTGAAAAATTTGAAACAACGTGAATGTCCAACCACAGGGTACTGTTGACAATCAATCATAATACTCCACTCTCTGGAATACCGTGTAGCTGGTAAAAATGATGCTATATTAGAATCCCTAAAGAAACAAGCAAAGGCATATAAAGCATGTACAATACATATGAAGCGAACCAAAATATAAAGTGATGGATTTTGAGCACATTAAAGAATTTAACACTCCTCTTTGAGTGGCATTAGACCCAAAGAGAAGGACCTGTAAACACAGCCGTCCTCGGCCCTGCAGTGGACATGACTTACCCTGGCAGAGGGCTGCAAACACGGGGTACTGGTCTTAACCCTTAGTACCACCTCACAGTCATTCATGGAAGATTTGTGGTTGTTCAGCAGAATGTAGATGCCACCACCCCTGACCTCAGAAATGAATGCACGACAGGCTCATGTTGGGATGCTGGGAGTGAGGGGAGTTAAAGAAAGGGAGATCTCTGTATCTTCCTCTGAGAGTGACAATAGGGAAGAGTCCATGGCTAAATTGGGGGCTATTGCAAAGGTAACCAAAGACCAGAGTGGCAGAAAATGTTCGGAGGTGGTAGGGATGAAGATATAAGCCACGGAGAACATTATTTTTCTCAGCAGCAAATCAGTAAGAGAGATAAGCCAAGAAATAGTGGTGTAAGTGTTTTGCCTAAATATACAGAGGAAACCACTGTAAAACAAAAAGTCTAGATGATTAAAAGTCACCCCTTTTAACCAGGCCTGGGGCTGGGGATGACTGAGGCATCTGTTGCTTTTCACAAGTCCTATCCTTAAAAATAAATAAATAAAAGGTACATGTTGCCTTGATATAAATTTTAAATATCTTTCATTGCTGTAAATATGTTATAACAAAGAAAAATTCTAATTATCTACCACTAAGTGAAAATAAAGGTTATGAAATTGTGTGCATAGTTAGATTCTACTTTTTTGGTGGGAAAAGTACAAACAGAAAAAAAAATCCAGAGGGATGAATCACGATATGCTGCCGAGTGGCGTAGTACCTGGTAGGATTATAGGTAATTATTGTCCCTTTTCACACATGATTGCTTTTGGATTCTACAAGAAGCACAGTATACTCGAGTGATGCAACATAAATAAATTAGAAGAAAAGAAGGAAAAGAGACGCAAGCACCTGTCCACCAGGGTACCATTTGTGCTCTGAGTGATTAATGGGCTTGATGAGAAATTATTTTAAAAATTCTAAGCAGCTGATAAGAAAAGAAAAACAAGCCCAGAGCAGCACCCTCCAACCTCAGGTACGCCCTGCCCGCCTGTGCGTCACGGCCACGCAAACAAACACAGTCTAATGAAGCTGAGGAAGCAAAAGGTGCAACCTGCCAACAGAGCAGCTGTGAAGGCAGCTTCATGTGTTTTTATATGGGGAGCGTTTTTACATACCCCCAGCCTGGTTCCACAAAGGGCAGGAAGTCAGAAAGAGAAGGTAGTGAAATATAAACACTACAATCAAGGGCAGAGAATAAAAACAAATCAGAAGAAAACATCTAAAGCAGAAAGTATGGTATGGGCAGATTAACTTCAACAGGTCATGGGGTCCTCACACAGCTACTAGAGATGGGCTGCACGGTTAGCGTTGAGCCTCCCAGTGGACAAAGAGAAAAGGGAAACGAAGTTACCTTGTCCTTGCTGCCCACGAGGAAGAATATATACCAGCCTTTCTGGGGAAGCTAAGCTTTTTACCTAGCCACTAATGCTGAAGGGAGGGAGCCCTCAGGTGACTTCCTAGCAAACCTGCTGGGCCTGCGGATTGGTAGGATCCCATCAACAAACAGGATGATGGAATTTCCAAGGCTGCTCTGCACAATGTCTGCTGATGAGGGAAGGTGATGCACAAGGTGACCAGCACAGGAGTCTACGGCAGAATGTGTGTGGCTCTGCCACTGGAGTCTTGTCACACTCCGGAAGCAGAGTTAGAACTGGGGCTGAGTGACGAACTCACATGGGGAGGTCCCACCTAATGTCTAGAGCCTGGACTCTGCTACTGAAAACTATACAGGGCAGCTGTGGTCTGGAGACGTTAAGGCCTCTCTCTGAGCTATCAAGGCCAGAATCACTTTAGACTCTCAATCTTTTACCTCGAATTTCCAACTCCTACCACTTCCCACCAGCACTCCACATGCTAGGAAGTTTACAGCATGAATCCCTCACTTCCCCCAACTACAAAATTTCTGATCACGATGAAGCCCAATTAAAAGTTGCTTAGACTTCTACCGATGAGCCTTCTGGAACAAAAAGCCTGATTTCTTTGTGCTCTGCTCCCAGGAAGAACCACCATCCTGAAGAGACCCCTCCTGTTGTCCACCACAGGGCCACTCCCAGGAGGTGCTATGATGAACAGGCTGTAGACACCACCTGCCGGCATGGCCATGATAACCCTGTGACATAGGGACTGTTGTTATCCCGGTTTATACAAGAAACAAAAGCTTAGAGGTGAAGCTACTTACACAAAGCCCCACAGCAAAAAAGCAGCTTTGGTGAGGCCAGCTCAGGAGGTCTCCTTCCCGAATCCACGGTCTGCAAACTGCATCATACAGCAAAATCACCCCAAGACTCAAACTCCAGGGCCTGGCCCTAGAGATTCTGATGCTCTGGGTGGGGGTGGGGCCTGAGAACGTGCCGTGTTACAGGCTCCCCGATGACTCTGAACTAAGCGGCCCAAGGAGCACACTGTGAGAAGCACCATGTAGGTCCTTTGCAGGGCAGTGTAGTCATCTCAGTGAGCTTTTCTCGTATGTATTACAGGGATAATGAAGAACAATGCCTGGCAGTCTCAGGAGGAGTCAGTGAGACTAGGACAAATAGCCCCTGCCATCCTGCCTTATCTTTTGCATCCCTCCGCTTCTCTGAAAAAGGGTTGGTTCAACTCTGCCAATGCTTATCTGCCTGCAGAGAAGGGGCATTTCCACCCGGGTGGGTCCTATAGGTCTGACTGGGCAGGAGGCTGTTCCTGGAATCTGTCCAGATACAGAAATGCCAAAGGTCAGAGATAAGCTGAAGTCCGGGTGGCAGCCCAGCCCCACTCAGGCTTGGGAGGCAGTAGAAACCTGCCAAGGAGCATGCAGAACACAGCCAAGCTGGAGGGGCAGCCAGGGCACCAGCTGCCCAGCCCTGGTCCACCCAGCTCTCCAAACAAGCCAGCTGCTGAAGAACCTCCCCATCTACCTCCTCCAGTCATAATGGGAGCAGTCAGTGAAGTGGCAAAGCGACAGAAAAGCGCCTCAAAGAAGTAGGCTAGGGGCCCCTTACACCATGCGCCCCACTCTGCAGATGCTCCTCCTTCGCCTGTCTGCCCCGAGCCTCTCAGACTCAAACGAGGACAAGCGATTTGAACCTAGGTTAGTACCTGGCCACACAAGAGTCTGGTGTCCTAAAGGCCTTGCCCCACAGCTGCTGCTGCCTGGTGGAAGTCACCAGGGCTCGTCAGTGGAGATGAGATAATGGCTCTCCAACTGGGACTCTCCATGAGACAGAGATACCTCTAGATTCAAAGGCCTGGGTCAAACCCTGCCTGTCGCTTACCACCCACCAGGACAAGCCACTTAACATCGTGCAGCCTCACTTTCCTTATCTGTAAAATGGGGATAATAGCACCTCACTGCATAGGGTTGTTATGAGAAGAAATGAGACAAAGAATGTAGATAATAATGTACATAATAGCCCACATTTACTGAGAGCTTTGGTCAGAACAACTCTGCACACGTTATCTCAGGGCTGGCGTGGTGTCTGGCACACGACCAGCACTTGAGAGGATCAGAAACAAAACCCACAGCCCTGCAGGAAAATCCAGCCCAGCAAGTGCTGCCAGAGGAGAGGGCAGCTTGGAGGGCCGGGCCTCCCGTGTCCTCCTGGGTAAAAATCTCATCCTAGGCGATCTGAACCTAGGTTAGTACCTGACCACACAAGAGTCTTGGGGCCAATCCGAACACTGGCTCCGAAACGGGATGGGCGCACAGGCACATGCCCTTGACAGCTGGCCTCTGCCGGCAATGCTCAGAGCAGTGCTCCTGCCTGCGCCGCCTCCAGTCACTGCAAAGATGTCTGCGTGGGACCCGCGTGAGCGTGCCTGCCTGCGTGTGTGTGTGTGTGTGTGTGTGTACACCCTACTGCAGGGCTTGTCCATGCTTGTGTGTTCGTTCCAGGGTGCTATGTGTGCAGAGGTGCCCAGGAGGGGGCGTTTGTATACTCCACTCCCGGTGAGTGCTGACACACCTCAGGGTCAGTCTCGGCCTCCACACTCTCCCCGTGGGGCAGAGAGAGTGCCTCACGCAGTCATGTGGGCATCTGGGCTGCGGCACTGCTCCGACATCACATACATCTCCTACCCAGAGGGCTGGTTAGGTCCGGGATGGAGAGAGCCTGGCTGCCTGAGGCTGTGGCTGGTGTTTCCAAGTGGAAGAAACCTTTCCATCCACCCTGGGCAGGCCTGAGCCGGTGGCTCCCCAAGGCCCTGAGAAGGCAGCACGGGGACTGGCCTGGGGCTGCCTGGCACGAAGCCTCCTCGGGGAGGGCGCGTTGGGTTGGGCACATCAGGACCCCCTCTGCCATCGCTGGGCCTGGGGCTCTCAGCAGGAAGTGATACAGGAACAACTCAGCCCCCAGCCTCACCTAGGGTTTCTCCTCTTTCCTGTGACTCAGCCGGAAGCTTGGTGCTCTCTGGGGTGAGACGGGAATTGGGCTCAGCACCATCCCCACCCCAGGCGGTCCCCAC